TTTTTTTTAAAGATCAGTTATTTTAGTGAAAAAAAGCAAATCTTGTTTAAGATGGAGATTAAACTTATTCTTTATCTAAAGATTAGTTCTTTATATCGTTTTTGTAGGGAACGTAGGTCAAAACTTTTTTAGATTCTTTTTGTCAGGGCAAATCTTGTTTAAAGTTGTATATGGAACTTATTCTTTATTTAAAGATTAGTTCTTTTACTTCGTTTTTGTTGGGGTCGTAATTCAAATTGTTATTAAATTCTTTAAGTTGGAGATGGAACTTATTCTTTTTTAAAGATTAGTTATTTTAGTGAAAAAAGCAAATCTTGTTTAAGTTGGAGATGGAACTTATTCTTTATTTAAAGATTAGTTCCTTTACATAGTTTTTGTAGGGAACGTAGGTCAAAACTTTTTTAGATTCTTTTTGTCAGTTCAAGTCTTGTTTAAAGTTGGAGATGAAACTTATTCTTTATTTAAAGATTAGTTCTTTTACTTCGTTTTTGTAGGGAACGTAGGTCAAAACTTTTTTAGATTCTTTTTCTCAGGTCAAATCTTGTTTAAAGTTGGAGATGGAACTTATTCTTTATTTAAAGATTAGTTCTTTTACTTCGTTTTTGTTAGGGGTCGTAAATCAAAACTTTTTTAGATTCTTTTGTTAGGGCAAATTTTGTTTAAGTTGGATATGGAACTAATTCTTTGTTTAAAGATAAGTTCTTTTAGTTCGTTTTTGTTAGGGGTCGTAAGTCAAATTGTCATTAGTTTTTTTAAGTTGGATATGGAACATATTCTTTTTTGTTAGGGGTCGTAAATCAAAACTTTTTTAGATTCTTTTTGTTAGGGCAAATCTTGTTTAAGTTGGATATGGAACTAATTCTTTGTTTAAAGATAAGTTCTTTTAGTTCGTTTTTGTTAGGGGTCGTCAAATTATCGTTAGTTTCTTTAAGTTGGATATTGAACTTATTCTTTATTTAAAGATTAGTTCTTTTACTTCGTTTTTGTAGGGAACGTAGGTCAAAACTTTTTTAGATTCTTTTTCTCAGGTCAAATCTTGTTTAAAGTTGGAGATGGAACTTATTCTTTATTTAAAGATTAGTTCTTTTACTTCGTTTTTGTTAGGGGTGGTAAATCAAAACTTTTTTAGATTCTTTTGTTAGGGCAAATTTTGTTTAAGTTGGATATGGAACTAATTCTTTATTTAAAGATACGTTCTCTTGGTTCGTTTTTGTTAGGGGTCGTAAGTCAAATTGTTATTAGATTCTTTAAGTTGGAGATGAAACTTATTCTTTTTTAAATATCAGTTAATTTAGTTCGTTTTGATAGACCATGCAATAAAAAGTTTATGGGGATATAGGTCCGAAAACTATCCTTAAAATTTTGGGATTTACTCTCTATGGAAAATTATCTCTATAGAAATTATTAAACCAATCATAGCACGGCGTTCTCCACAGCACCTTAGTGTGGAAACGAGCGTTCGGAAACAGAAACGGCACGGGAAACAGGGACGGAAAACAGAAACGGAAACGGAAACGAGAGGCGATTCCAGGATTACTAACGGGACAAACAAAAACAAGACAAAATGTTTTTTAAAATTTTTATAGGAACACATTTTGGTTTTTTTTGCTTGTCCCGTTAGTAATCATGGAATCGCCCGAGAGATCAAGAGATTGAGGCGGAGATAGATACAATGATACAGACACAGCCAACAGGTGCAAGAAACAGAAACAGAAGAAACGGAGACGGAAACAACTGAGTGCTATGGAGAACGCCGTTCTATGATTGGTTTAATAATTTCTATAGAGATAATTTTCAATGTCTAAAATGTTAAGGATAGTTTTCGGCCCTATATCTCCATAAACTTTTTATTGCATAATCTATTAAAACGAACTAAAATAACTGATCTTTAAAAATCAATGTTTTGTTTAAAGTAGGAGATGGAACTTATTCTTATTTAAAGATCAGTTCTTTTTTTTGCTATGGGTCGTAAGTGAAAACTTTTTAGATTCTTTTTGTTAGGTCAAATCTTGTTTAAGGTTGGATTTGGAACTTATTCTTTATTTAAAGATTAGTTCTTTTACTTCGTTTATGTTAGGGGTCGTAAGTCAAATTATTATTAAATTCTTTAAGTTGGAGATGGAACTTATTCTTTTTTTAAAGATCAGTGATTTTAGTGAAAAAAGCAAATCTTGTTTAAGCTGGAGATGGAACTTATTCTTTATTTAAAGATTAGTTCTTTTACATCGTTTTTGTAGGGAACGTAAGTCAAAACTTTTTTAGATTCTTTTTGTCAGCGCAAATCTTGTTGGAACTAATTCTTTATTTAAAGATCAGTTCTTTTAGTTCGTTTTTGTTAGGGGTCGTAAGTAATATTAGTATTAGATTCTTTAAGTTGGATATGGAGCTTATTCTTTTTTTAAAGATTAGTTCTATTACTTCGTTTTTGTAGGGATCATAGGTCAAAATTTTGTTTAAATTCTTTTCGTCAGGTCAAATTTCAAGTTGGAGATGAAACTAATTAGGTATTTATTTAATTCTTTATTTAAAGATCAGTTATTTTAGTTCGTTTTTGTTAGGGGTCGTAAGTAATATTATTATTAGATTCTTTAAGTTGGATATGGAACTTATTCTTTTTTAAAAGATCAGTTCTTTTACTTCGTTTTTGTAGGGATCATGGGTCAAAATTTTGTTTAAATTCTTTTCGTCAGGTCAAATTTCAAGTTGGAGATGAAACTAATTCTTCCGCTTTTGGGTAGGTGAACATATTTTTTAAATTCTTTTCGTCGTTTTAGTCTGTTTTAGATAGTGATTATCCTATGGAACCAGGCGCCCAGGAGTTTCCTATAAAACCCTCCTTTTTATTCCTTCCATTTAGACCCATTTTAGTTCAATTTCACAATCTTCAGATTGTTGAATTAAATTAAAATGGTAGATGGATCTTGAAAGTACTTTTTGGATTTTGTCTCGGAACATCGGTAATCCGTGCTAACCCGTTTTTAACGTGGAGCATGTTTTGCGCACCGGCGCTAATCTATTTGTAACTTAATTATCTGTCGTTTAGTAGTATTAGATTCTTTAAGTTGGATATGGAACTTATTCTTTTTTTAAAGATTTGTTTTTTTAGTTCGGTTTTGTTAGGGGTCGTAAGTCAAATTGTTATTAGATTCATTAAGTTGGATATGGAACTTATTCTTTTTTAAAAGATCAGTTCTTTTACTTCGTTTTTGTAGGGATCATAGGTCAAAATTTTGTTTAAATTCTTTTCGTCAGGTCAAATTTCAAGTTGGAGATGAAACTAATTCTTCCGCTTTTGGGTAGGTGAACATATTTTTTAAATTATTTTCGTCGTTTTAGTCTGTTTTAGATAGTGATTATCCTATGGAACCAGGCGCCCAGGAGTTTCCTATAAAACCCTCCTTTTTATTCCTTCCATTTAGACCCATTTTAGTTTAATTTCACAATCTTCAGATTGTTGAATTAAATTAAAATGGTAGATGGATCTTGAAAGTACTTTCTGGATTTTGTCTCGGAACATCGGTAATCCGTGCTAACCCGTTTTTAACGTTTGTAACTTAATTATCTGTCGTTTTCCTTTTCTACCCTTCCTATTACCCTAATTCCTTCGATTGGACCTGACGTGGACATCTTGGACTTCTTGGAACTTCAGGGTGCGAGTGAATCTTATATGCGAGTATGTATACAACCAGTAAATTTGTTTTTTGCGTGTTTTTGTTAATTTAAATAATTTATCTGTTTTAGGAAATTTTAGGTATATAATATGATAAGGAGGGTGGAGGGTAACTCCGCCAGGTATTATTAACCTGCCGGTCCCAAGCCCGGATAAAGGAGGAGGGCCCTCACTCTTTTCTATTTTTTTTAGATTGTTTTCAAATCTTGTTTATGTTGAAGATGGAACTTAGGTTGTTTTTGTCAGGTTGGAACTTCTACTTTTTTAAAGATCACTTCTTTTAGTTCCTTTTAGTAAAGACTTCCTATTTAGCACCTTCTTTATTGTAACTAAAGTTAAAAAGGCAACAAGCAGTTGCAGTAATTGCATGACTGTTTTTTAACTAAAAATGTGCAAGAAGACTTTTCGGAAGTGATAGAGGCCAGAGAATATAATACAGTATCCTTTTTAACGCCTAGATATTAACTACACCAACTAACTAAGAAGATACTTTCCAAAGAATTTTTTATTTTGCCAAGAATATGTAATAAAGTTGGTGTAGTAAATATTTTAAATGGAATTTTACTTGAATATTTTTCTGAAAATGTATCATATTTTAAATGTGCCAAGCATGATTTAAAAAAAATATTTTACAAAATGTACTATTTCTCATTGGTTAAAATGCATTAATTTAATTTTAAAAGGTTACAATTAATTCAAAATTTGTTAGATTTTATAAAAGCACCAATGAAAAACAGTACATTGACTCTATGAAGTGTTTAGCTTATAGTATGTATTTAAAAAACAAAAAAATAAAAAGTAGATGTTTCAAAATTGTTTTTTATTTAAATAAAATTATTGTTAGAAACTGTAATTACTTAATTTTAATAATTTTGAATATTTTATCTCATACTTAGTTTTAAAAATAATTTTAAAATTGTTTAAAATCTTAAAAAATTATTTTTAAGAATTCTAAATCCCGCTAAATTTTGTCACATACTGTGGAAGTATGTGCATTTTGTGTTCAGAAGTGCCATCTCTCGGCAAAAAAACAAAGTAAATTTTGACCATTGTCAAGTTTCCCATATATCTTTCTGTTGTATATGCGCCATACTGAACCAAAGACATCCTTTGGTAAAAAATCTATTAAATAAATATTCTTTATTAAATCCTGTAATTTTAAAATGTTTTTTAAAAAGATTACGATAAACTTAATCTGTGGGTAATATTAATTTGAAAGGGTAGATGGCGTCTTGTTTTTACTGAGTCAATTATTTTTCCAGGTTTTCATTTGATTTTAAAATTATTTATAAAAAAAATCCAGACAAATAAAATCAATATTTTATTGGTGCAATTATTTGTACAATACTAAAAAATAAATACTTTACAATTAAGAGACATATGTCATACATCAATTTCGGTAGGTTGTCCTTTGGGAGTTGGGTTGAAGGAATTTGAAGCAAAGTGTTCCTTGAAGTATTCAGGTCCATTTTCTTCGTACATAGCTTTGGTTAGAAGACTTTTCTTAAATTCGGGAGATTTGGCAAATTTCCTAGCCCCATACCAAGCCGCCGAATTCGGGTTTTGCATAATCCTTACGTTGACTTCCGATTGAAAAGGTCTTATGGACACCAGATCTGCTAGTAGGCGTTTCTGAAGGCCCTTCAAGTGCGCCAACCCCCCCATCACCAACACATTTCCCGCCAATTTTAGCTGATCGTCGTAACTGAATAGAGACAAAACATATCCGATCACCTCCGATAGCCCGGCATCGGAAGAACCCAACATGTAAGGCTTGAACAGCAACTCCGGCGCCCTTATTTTCTCAATCCCCACGTGAAGTTGATGCGTTTCTCCCGGAGTTGTAATCTCATCCAACTCCGACGGCTCGTGCACCCGAATGATCTCTTCGAACTCGAGCAACTTTTCGTTTTCGGCTTCGCTATCCGAGTCGCCGCCATCTTTGCTTATCGTTTTGTAGATCTCCCAATCCTCGTCCCTCAGACCGAAATCGTCGTTCCCCTTTTCTTTCCTTGCCAATTGGGAGATAATCCGCATCCTTTCCTGACCAGCGGCCGTCCTCCTTTTCGCCATATCCTGCTTTCTCTGCTTCCTCACCAACTTCTTGTGCAGTATCTCCTGCCTCTGAAATACACAACTGTTTGGTTAAAAAAATCATTCATTTTTGTACTAACTACCATTTTCTTTATGTTCTGCAGGAACGAGTGCATGGCTTTTTCACTTTCAAAAACCATCTTCGTGTGTTTGGACTGTTTGGCCGGCGGTTCATCGACCTCGTCGGCGTTATTAGCCGCTTGTATCTTCTGCAACGTTTTGTCAATTTTCATTTTTAAAGCTGCGATGTTTTTCTGCAAATCCTGCACGTTTTTTATTTGGTGCTCGGCCATGGCTTCCACGATTTCGTCCTCGTCCACGCCGTACTGAACCATATCCAGGATTTCGTTGAGTTGGTTTATTTTTTGCTGAAATTCCGCTAAACGCTCTTCGCGTTTCCGCGCGTTTATTTCCGTCAGTCTTCTCGCCAATTCCTTTTTGCGCTCCTTTTGTTGCTCAACTGTAAAAAAACGATCCTTCCAGAAATTATTGCTTCCTATGGCCTAGAGGTCTTTTCAAGACTCAGAGGTCTATAATAATTGTAGATACAAAACAGAAAAACGGCAACAATTTGTATTGATTTTTGATTCAGAAATTATTTCTGTGTTAAAACTAGAGTGATATTTTCAATTAGATAAAAAATATCACATAAGAATTTTTATCTCTACGCGTTCTATAATTTAAACTTTATTCTTGTCAACATTCGATAAAGAAATACCTTGTTATGGCCTAGGCCGATAAAAATTTTTATGAGGCAAGTAATTAGTTCGACTTTTTCTCGCTAGGGGTATTGTTTTGACAAATTAATCCTTTTCTAAGAAATTAACGTACTAAACTGGTTTAATTTATTTATAATAAGCACTAATTCGTTTGTTTTACTGTTAATGTTTAATATTTTTCATTAAATTATTGTAAAATTAAATATAAATAATAAAACAAAAAGTGAGGTTAGGCAACCGAGAAAACGCACGATTCTTTTTCTACGATTTAAATTATCTTTAAGTTTTAATTTGCTTTAAGTTTTCAGTGAAATTAAATGTTAAACACAGCTTAAACATTACAAACTACCTATTTTTTAAAATAAAAATTCAAACAAATTGAAATTAGATACCTACATATTTATTTAACAATTAACTGAATTCAATGTAATAGCAAAAATCCATTTCTACTTAAATTATGTTGCTAGGTATTGTCAAACTATTACTGCTTCTAAAAGCAATAATAATTATTGTACATTTAATGTAATCTTTAGCTAATAAATAAATGAGATTCTAAAAAAGTGAGGTTAGGCCGCTTTGATGTTGAATTAAATTGACCTATATAAAGTGCTTTGAAGATAAAATGTTGTATGCCATCCGGCCAAAAAGTGCCTTTTTGTGCTTCGCTCAATTGTAGGCCTTCGCTACGCGTCGGCCTTCAAACCTTGAGCTTAGCACAAAAAGCCTTACTTCTTAACCTAATGACATAAATAACTATTATTCTGCCAATTAATAATATCATAGCAGATATTTTAAAATTAGATTACATTTTTTTGTCAAACTGATATTTTTAATTTAGTGAATTTAAAATATCTGTTTCTTATATTTGTATTTTTTGTTAAACACATATTTTTAATTCGCTTAATTAAAAATTAGATGCTTAACTGATATTTGTATTTTTTTGCTAAATACATATTTTTAATTCGCTAAATTAAAAATATCATAGGAGAAATTTTTAAATGATCGAAAAATATGTGTTTAACTAAAAAATACAAATACCTATAAGAAACATTTATTTTAAATTCACAAAATCAAAAATCTTATAGTCATGAAAAGAAAAAAATCGTTTTTCAACCTGTCAGAGATGATGTTGCTACAGCAGCTGCATAGGGCAGCTGAATTTTCTTAATATTCTCCTCATAGAAGTCCGGATCATTCCACTTGTTCAACTCATCTCTATAATCCAAAGCTACAGTACAAATACTGTGTAATAATTCTTCAGCCCTGCTCAAAGTTATAGCTGTTGCATGTGCTGGATATTTCAGTTGTAAGATTTTGTGCAGAAATGTTATAATGTGCCAACCTCCTGTGTTTAATCTTCTACTGTGTTCATACATGACTTTGCCGTTAACTACAGGTATAACATGGCAAGAATGGTAACCCATATTTACCAATAACGCATTATCCACTGGTTTACTTTCTTGATAACCAAGCGCAAATAGAGAATCAACTCCGTAACAAATCCCAGGTACATCATAGCATTCAAACAACAACTCAGACATTACTACAAAAATTTAAAAAAATATATATCAATTTAGTGTTGCCCAACTTAAAAGTCTTAAGAATGTCAACTTAAGCTAGGCATGCCTTTAAAGTGTCAATATAACACTTTTCTAAATGTTACTTACATTGTCGAGATGAGTTTGGATTTAAGAATGCCTCTGTACATAGGATAGGGTGTGGGACACGATTTTCTGTGTCAATACCTAGATGAGCAAAACTGTAATCAAATAAATGTTCCTGTGCTTCAAAATGCGTCACAACATTCCTGTCAAACTGTGTTTTTAATTGAAAACGAACAGCTTCAATATTTACAATGTCATTACCGACTTGTAATTGTGGGGTTTGTGGAACTTCCACAGTATCTTTTTTTGATCTTTCCTTCCTTGGTTTCGCTATTAGATTTTTAAATAACAACATGGGTTCTGTATTGGTTGCCCAACCAACCCGGCACTGATATGAACCTAAACATTATTGTTTTTTATAATTATTATTATAAATTAAAGCGAAATTTTTACCATTATCAATTACTATGGGTACTGCATTGTTCCTAAGACTTGCTGTATAAGGATGTACTATGTCTGGTACGCATTTTGAGTCCTTAAATCCCAGTATTTCCATTTTAAACCATTTAAATAAACAACTATTTTAGGTTATGTCAACCTATGATGTCAATTGTCAAAACCATAGAGAAACAAACTTCTCTATGGTCAAAACCAATGTAAATTTTTTTAACAAAAGAGAGTTAATAATTTCAATGTTAAAATGTACATTATTTCAGGATATATAAATGCAAAAATATGTTTTATAACGTTAATTCAGATTTTAACTACTTTAGGTGATCTTTGGCAACGTCGCAATTTGTCATTGCTGCCAACAAAACCCAGCAAGGGTGAGCTGACAAGCCAAAATAAACCCCCTAAAAAACAAACTAAAAATACGTTCCTTTCAATCAGAATGTGTTACAACTAATTTTCATTAAAAAAACCGTAAATATTATTTAATAAAACCTTTAGTTATGATTTAAGTGTGTTTAAATATTAGTTAAAATGACGGACAAAATCAAGGTAAGTTCGTGATTGCAGTTAACAAGAAAATGAGAGTTTAATTTCAAGTTCAATCAACAGAATATACCTGAACAAAAGTTGAAAGCCTTTTCTATCGGAACTATGGGTAAACGGAATTTATCTAAAAGGGAACTGGAGGAATTACGCAAAAAGGAGGAAGAAAAAGCGGCCGCTCATGTAAGAAAATAGCCATTTTAACCTAGAATGCATATACATATATATCACTTAAAAACTTTTAGGTTTTCCAAGAGTTTGTCGAGACTTTTCAAGAAGCGCCGATCAACGGTGGTAGCAAAGTTTGGGTCAAAGCTGGCACCTACGATGCTGGCACTAGAAGTATGTTAAAAAATAATGTGATAACAATAAAAATACTAATACTTTGTTTTAATAAAAGGGGAAGACACCAAAGACAAGGGCAAGTTATACAAGCCACAGTCAAGAATTTCAACCTCACAAGAGTTAATGACATCAGCTGAACGAGCCCAGGCTTATGCCAAACTTCTATCTTCCGATAAGAAACCAGAGAGGTTGGGAAAAAAGAAACAACAAACCAAAAGCAATCTAGAGGCCTTTATGGAGGAACTAAGGCAGTAAGTACATCAATTTATCAAATAATATATTCATATTTTTTATTTCATTCTTAATACTTACAACAAAAATAAACAACAAATCTTTTCATAAAGGAAAAGCATACAACCACCCACACAACATATGTTGGTGTGAACTTCAATTAATTACGTGAGGCAATTTTGGCGATTTTTTTTTCATTTAATTTGAAGCGCAGCTACTAACGCCATCTATTTTAATTAATTGAAAGTTCTACGAATTTTGATTTTCCGGCTGTTCCTTTTAGTTTTTCCTAATGTATTTTTATTTAAATCGATTGAGCCATTTACGAGTTTTTGCAGGACTAACGCACGGCGATTAATTTATATATTTATATATATATAGATTCAGTTAAAATCATGTAAATAAATATAAAATGTATATGTTATAAGAAAAATATCTTGGATATATTTTTTTTTATGTCATCAATTAAATCCCTTTTACTATTTAATTGGGTAGTGTAGGTCAATATGTACAGGGTTAATACACTCACAGGCAAAATAATCGATCCACACAAATTTTCATTTTCAAATTTCAATCGCAAATAACTTTTTTATTTGATTTCGGATTTAAACAAATATTAAAGAATATTGTAGATACATTAATGGAGAATCGCTCACATTTTAAAAATTAATAAAAAACACACGTACTTTTATAATATACAGGTTTAAACAAAAATATGTTTTTTACCATAAGTTTAAGACACTCTGTAGAGTGGCAAAACCGTATATTGTTCTAAATTAAGTTTAAATTATCAAGTCACATCCATTTTTAACAGTTTTGTTTTTGGTTCACCTTGATATATTTATTTTTGTGAAAAATATGGATTTTTTTTAAAAACATTGCAATTTCCAATATTTTTCCTTTATGAAGAACTAAGGTTGCTATGGTCCATCCATAGCCTACGGAGGATGACAGTGACAGTTTTGTTGAATCATCCCATACTTGGACATGTCATATACATCTTTCAAAAGCTATCAAATTGTTTTTTGTAAATTAATGTGTTAATTTTGAGGTGTCTTCTTACTTTTAAAAATGTCTCTGACTAATGTTGCCCTTTGTACTTTAATTCTTGTGACGTTTAAAACACTTGCCACGTAATACTGTGACTGTCCATCCTGGATTAAATTAATGGCTCTGGCAACATCAGTCGGAGACATATCCATTTTTTAAAGTAAAAAGACACCTCATAATTTAAACATTAATTTGCAAAAAACAATTTGATAGCTTTTGAAAGCTGTATATGACATGTCCAAATATGGGATGATTCAACAAAACTGTCACTGTCATTCTCCATAGCCTATGGATGGACCGTAGCAACCTTAGTTCTTCATACAGAAAAATATTGGAAATTGCAATGTTTTTTTAAAAAATCCATATTTTCCACAAAAATAAATATATCTAGGTGAACCAAAAACAAAACTGTTAAGAATAGATGTGACTTGATAAATAAAACTTAATTTAGAACAATATAAGGTTTTGCCACTCTACAGAGTGTCGTAAACTTATGGTAAAAAACATATTTTTGTTTAAACCTGTATATTATAAACGTACGTCTATTTTTTAGTAATTTTTTAAAATGTGAGCGATTGTCCATTAATTTATCTACAATATTCTTTAATATTCGTTTAAATCCGACATCAAATAAACAAGTTATTTGCGATTGAAATTCATCGAAAATTTGTGTGGATCGATTATTTTGCCTGTGAGTGTATTTATATATATATATAGATTCAGTTAAAATCATGTAAATAAATATAAAATGTATATGTTATAAGAAAAATATCTTGGATATATTGCTTTTTTATGTCATCAATTAAATCCCTTTTACTATTTAATTGGGTATTGTAGGTCAATATGTACAAGGATAATACAAAAGAAGTTTATTATTGCTCACTTTTTAAACAATACCTTGTTAAAGAAGACATGTTGTCTTCTTCTCCAGAAAAATAGACACTTTCAAATTCTGATAAAAAATGCGGTTGTAATTAAAAAAAAAGTTGACCTCCTTGGGGGCTACGTATTTTTTTTAAGTTGGTATTTTTTTTAAATTTTGAAATGAACTACCAAACAACATTTATTAAAATAATTTTTTAATATTTTCGATATTTCAAAAGTTACACTCAATATTTAACACTTTTGAGCCACCCTGTATAATTAAATACAGTGTGTATTAAAACGAATAGATACACTTAAATAAAACAAGTGCCAAACCCCGCCCACTGTGGTAGGGATTGAATTATTATTATTTTAGAATTATTTTTGTTTGAGAATTTATAGGTTTTATTTTTATCGAATTCGTTTGTTTTGTTTTAATGCATTTCTGCAAATAAAAACTAATTATTGTTTAAAATCCATTAAATTCCAGTTCTTGGCGAAAATGTATTTCCCTACGACAGCGTCAGAGCTACTGAACAAACAGTAGATCAAACTGCATGCCCTTGTATCTGGCTGCATGCCGCGCTGTTGCCATATGCTATTATTGTTTCCTAAAAGGGTTGTTTTTCTTATTTTTTTAATATTAAAAGTAAGAAAATTAACTAAATCAAATTATTTTTGACATATTATTAATTTTTTTGATACTTTTAAAGTTTCAAACAAATAAAATTGAACTATTTATCAAATAATTATAATCGTTCTCTTCTGATTTAAAACAACCTGGCAACTATGGTTCGTAATTACGAATGGCTTGGTTTAAACCACGCCAAATTAAAGTTTGTTTCTTTTTCGTTGATCAGAATATAATTTGTCATCCTTGTCTCCAGCCTTACTTACTTGATTCTATACATTCTGTATAAAGATAAATATATCCCATTTTCTTATTATTAATGAATAAAAGTAGAACTTCTATTCAGTTTGAACTATTTGAACCCTAAAATTTGTTAAAAAAATTATAAAAATGAAATTTCTCTAAAACAATAAAAACCTTAATTAGGATCCAGGAAGAACGTGAAGAGAGGCACAAATACAAAGGTGCAGTTCGGCCCCCGATAACACCAATAGAAACCGAGTTGGATCTATTTATGCGTAGCGGCGACATCGGTTCGTTCGATAACGGCGATCCAACGACAACGAACTTATATTTGGGCAATCTGAACCCGAAAATCACCGAGCAACAGCTGATGGAAATCTTCGGCAGGCACGGGCCTTTGGCCAGCATCAAAATAATGTGGCCAAGATCCGACGAAGAAAAGGCCAGAGGCCGTAATTGCGGCTTCGTGGCCTACATGAGCCGCAAAGATGGCGAAAGGGCGCTGAGGAATCTCAACGGGAAAGACATCGTGGGTTACGAGATGAAGTTGGGATGGGGAAAGTCCGTCATAATACCCCCGCATCCGATTTACATACCTCCTTGTTTGCTGGAGGTCTCTATGCCTCCGCCGCCGTCAGGCTTACCGTTCAACGCACAACCCGCCCCTAATGACGTGGACATCCTTCCCAAATCGGCCGAAGAACTCACCGACCTACTCACAAGAGCGACGGTTAAAGTCGTCATTCCGACCGACAGAAATTTGCTGATGCTCATCCACCGGATGGTGGAGTTCGTGGTGCGCGAAGGGCCGATGTTCGAGGCGATGATTATGAACAGGGAGATACAGAACCACATGTATCGGTTTTTGTTCGAGAACCAAAGTCCAGCCCACACCTACTACAGGTGGAAGTTGTATTCCATCACTCACGGAGATTCGCAGAAGGAATGGAGCACCAAAGAGTTCAGGATGTTCAAGGATGGATCCATATGGAAACCGCCTCTAATGAATTCCTACACCGCCGGCATGCCGGACGAGCTAGTTGCGCCAGAAGATGGCAAAGAAAGCAGCAAAGGATCTTTGTCAATCACGTAAGTGTATATTTTGAAATTTTCATAAGTATATCATCAATTAAATATTTTAACTTTTGTATAAACATAAAAAAGACAAACAACTTTTAAATTTACAATAATTAGATTCATTTTTTATTATCACAGGAAAGTTATTAAATAATACAAGTCCACTATAAAAAATTGTCTTATACAGTATGCAACTATTTGCAGTATTTATATAAAAATCATTTCCAGCTCTTGTATTGTCTTCATGAATATTATTAACAAATTTTAATTTTTGATATAAATACATAATATATAATAAAATTTTATTTGACATACTAAGATAGGGGCCTCATAGAAAACTTTTTGTTCATTATTAACAAAGGATGACTTTTAAAACTTAAGTTATCGTCTAAATTTACTCCAAGATATTTAATTCCATGCACTTTTTCAATTAAAATGTTTTCAATTTTAACATGGTGTAAAATATTTCCAAGTTTTGATTAACTAAAATTTAAACCATCACATAGCAAAGATAAGATGTAAGATCCAGTGGCGGCTCGTGACCATTCATGAAGGTGAGGCCCATGAACCACTATATGGCGCCGCAGGAAATTTTTTTGAAATTTTCAAGGTCTCGCGTTTTTGGAGCACTTCAGAATCTAAATAATAAAAATATATTATTTAAAAATATGTTCTTTCACGAGAAGAATTTTCAAAATTTAGCTAGAATACAAAAAGTGCGGGATGAGGTGGGATTTTTATTTATTCCTTCAGAAGGTTTCCACATTACCCAGGAGGTACTGCTCATTTTTACCTATCTTACAATAATTATTTTTAGATTAATAAAGGCACAACCGCACAACAACAAAATAATAATGTACAAGCACAGTAGGTATATGAAACTCAACGATTTAACACTGAACTATAAAAAACATGAATATTTTTATTTATTTTTTTTTGTGATTTATACTGTGGTATTTGTGTGTTAATATAATAATATATTAAAATAAAAATGATCTTTTATAATTATTTGAATTATTTTTACATTTTACGCTTGCATTTTTATCACAACTTTCCATTTTAACGCCAAGGCAAAGACTAAACAGAAATAAGAAACTATAAACACGCATAGATCTAATTAATAAGCTTTGTTTACTAAAATATTCCACGCCCCGCCCAGCCTTTTACAACGGCTGATAAGCGAGCCGCACAGATCTCGGGACCTACTCTGCTGTCTTCCATATACTGTGGTACAAGCCCAACTTGTGGGCCTCAATGTCTACAAAAATTCGCGTATTATCCCCGCCTTGCGGGGGTGCCGGCGGCACCGTGCAGCGGTGGGGAGCATGATGTTGTATCGGCAATGTGTGACGTATATGAAGCGCAAATTTCTGGGATTACTATTTTCCTATTATGCAGTCGGGCAATGATTTAAGCGTTTAGAATTAAAGTTGGAAATGGTGCGCGCTAAATTTAAAGGACATATTTTAAACTTTGATGGTTATTCGATGTTTTGATACTTTTATTGATTGGAAATTAGTTTAAAAACGTTTTATATTTAAATAAGTAAGTTAGTTGCTTTATACAACGAGCCGCCACTGATAATATATAATCAAAATTATCACCTGTATCATCTGCAAACATATGTAATTTACACATTGAATCATGTCATTGATGTATAAGTTGAAAAGAATAGGACCGAGTACAGTGCCCTGAGGCACACCATATTTAGTTTAGTTCTTTTTTGTTTATATAATTGCCAGTCTTTATTTATTCATTTTTTTGGTTCATAACATAATATTTTAAATTCCCTTATTTCACATTGATTTTGTCTATTGCTTGTTTCATGTTAAGTTCTAATTGTAAAGATAGTATATTTGTATGCCTGTGTATTCATAGGCAAAGAGATAGACTGGAGGATTTGATCAGGGGTTTAGCACCGGAGAAAAATAAAATTGGAGAAGTTATGGTGTTTTGCATCGAACACAGCGACGCAGCCGAAGAGGTGGTCGAGTGCATCACCGAATCACTATCGAACGAGTCCACTTCCATCACTAAAAAAATCGCCAGGTTTTACTTGGTCTCTGATATTCTACACAACTGTGGCGTCAAAGTTAACAACGCATCGCACTATAGAAAAGCGTAAGTTCGTTGTAATTTTCTTATTTTCATGTTACCGAATAAATAATTTGTAGGTTTGAAGCTAAATTGTTGGAGATAATGCAAGAAATAAAGAAGACTTATGACAACCTAGAGGGCAGACTGAAAGCGGACGGTTTTAAAGTGAGAGTTCTAAGAACAATGAAAGCGTGGGAGGACACAATTTATCCGAAGGAATTCATGAACAAACTTCACAACACGTTTTTGGGAATAGATGAGGTAATTTTCCGCTCGTTATGTTAAATGTTTTGATTAAAAACGTCGTTTTAGGTGGAAAAACCAGTTCAAACTCAAAAGGAGTTTGACATCGACGGCGATCCGTTGGAAAACCGAGACATACATGATTCTTTCCCTATGGATGGAGCTGCACTGCTCAAGAATGCTTTCAAAGAGTACGGTAGTCCCGGAGAGGAGGACGCTGACACAGATATTGATGGTAAGATTGTAAAAATTTGTCGTACTATTATTTAAATAAAACATTATTTCCAGGCGAGGAGATCAAGGACGATCCTCCAGAAAAGAAAACGGTCAATCTGAGCGGTTTTATAACATCGAAATGGGAAACAGTCGATCCTGATCAAATCGAAGCTCAAGCCATGACGACCAGCAAATGGGATTTACTGGAGAGTAGCGCTGAAGTTAGCCAAAGCAGCAGCCAAAACGAGAATCAAGAGGCGTTTGATTTTTCAGAGAGGTATGTTGAATTTTTGAGAAAAAAATGCAACGATGCAAATTGGTTTATTTTTGCAGGAACATGAGCGAGGAAAGGCGGAATAAATTGCGCGAGATTGAGGTGAAGGCGGTGCAATATCAGGACGAGTTGGAGTCGGGTCAAAGGAGTTTGAAGTGCGGTTGGAGCGTTCCCCAGCAAGTGGAGCATTACCGTAGGAAGTTGCTGCGCAAGTCCGAGAAGGAGAAGAAGGAGAAGGAGAAGGAGGGCAAAGGTGAAAAACACAAAAGAGACTTTGAAAAGAGTGAGAGAAGAATGGCGGGGGAGAGTTCCGACGACGATAACTATTATAAGGAACTGTAAGTACTATTTGGTAAAAATTGCAAATTAAAATTGTTTTGTTGTTCGTGAAAATGTATTAGCTTGTTGCCAAGATATTTTGTTTACAAAGCTAATACATTTGATTTCAACATTTGTGATGGATTAAAAATAAGCTCATGCTTCTTACTGATTTTGTAGTACCTCTAGAAAAAGTAAAAAACATGCACGAAGTTCATCAAGTGGGTCAACATCAAAACACAGGTAACAGAATTAAGTTATAGTATAATTAGTCTTACCGTTTCTAGCAACATAAATAATTATGGAGAATCGCCTTAACCGCCGTAAAAAACAAACGGTCGTAATTGAAATGTTTCTGTTAACTTGAATTCTAGGTCAAAAAGTCGTTCGCCGTCGTCCAGAAAGAGAAGCCGAGTGGCCTTGAGCCCGCCAAGTCCTCCAAGGATTAGGAGGCACTCTCCCACATCCTCGACGACCTCGTCCCGCTCCCGCAAAATAAAAGATTTGTCCCCCTGTCCGTCGAACGGCAAATACTCCTCCCCGCGTTCTCACACCAAGCACTCCCGTCACTCCCCTTCTCCGCCTACTTCCTCGTCGAGGTCCCAAAAACATTTAAAACGTTGCTCCCCCTCGCCCAGAGGACGCCACTTAAGTAGTCAATCTCCTCCCCCCTCCTCGCGCTCCTCGCGACATCATTCCCCAGACTCTTCCAGGAAACACCGACACAAACACAAGTACTAACTTGCTCTTGGACATATTTATTTCTAGATATTTTTTACTTTAAATGTGTTCCACATCTGTTGTTTGTAATGTATACCCAAAACTTACATTTACCTTATTTACGTTATACGCAGATATAATCGACTCATGTTTGGATAGATATTGCGTATGCCATTATTTCATTCTTACTAAGCACTGTTCATATGCATACGTGTATACATATATATGTTTAGGGTGTTCGTTTAATTTAACAAGTTTTACATCTTTATTCGCGAACAGCACACCCATAATATTTAGATGCTAAATGTTTTTATTTAAGAAGCTTTCAAACTTTCCTAACCTAGCTCAAAAATATCGATGTTTAATTTAGTTAATCCTTTTCAACCAACACCCGGTCAATTTAAACGACTTTTTGTTAGATTTTTTAGGAGTGTAGACTACTAGTGTCTGGCTGTCTTTGCAGATGAAAACATTAATTGTTTTTTTAACCATGTATTTTGTATATAAAAACTTTTCATTTATTCTCATATATAATTTTCAATGACAATGTATTACACATTTTATTTTGTTATTAAAGTACATTTCATTTAAATGAGACTTTAATTTTCCTACCCAAGGGGGTTTACCCAGGACAGGTGAGGGTTTTTGCTAATGTGTCCTGGTTTTAATTGTGTACTGGTTTTTTAGATTTGGTCCTGGTTTATACTATTTTTTTTTATTGACCTTATTAGCAATTTTTTTTAAGTGGTTGAGGCTCAGGTTAAAAATAGAAGAGAAAAAAAGTAATAAAGAACCTCGTTTATTATTTAGTTGCTGCTGAGGAGCAGTAGACACATCTTAAAATGTATAATGGGTTGCATACAATACTCGTATTAAATCGGCACTTAACTGCCGATTTTGGATAAAATAAATTTTGTTTATTTTTTGGAAGGGCATGTTGGGTCCTGGTTTTTCATTTTAGAAATTTCCTCACCTTAGGTATAGGGTCATAAAAATACCAACTAATTTCTTTATCTCTCTTATTAAACACAAACTGGACACATAATTAGTATAAATTAAGCATTATCACAAAATAAATAAAAAAGAACTCTCAAAATCTTATATAAATCACACCATGGGGTAATACAGTTTAGATTAAGATTCGTTAAGGCACTTCATCAAATAACATAGTGCTTACAGGAAAAACGTTAATCAAAAAAATCATTTTTTCGACTTGGGCGATTTCTTTGAACCTCCGCTGCCTTTTCTTGGCGGTGGAGTTGGGGTCGATTCGGGTTTTGGAGACGAAGGCTCCGGAGCCTTTGCAGTAGAAGGTTCTTGAGCCTTGGGGGTTGATTCTGGAACTTTGAAGGCAACCACTTCGGGGGTTTCTGGAAGAGTTGGCGTTTCTACAGGGGTCTTCTCTTCAGCTACGTTAGCAGCTAAACTCGGTTCAGTTTTAGCAGGAACTGGGCTTTCAGATGGTGGTAAACTACATACTGCAATTGTGGGTTCAGTGGGTTGAGGTAAGCTACATTCAACTGAGGCGGGTTCAGGTCGAGCTTCAACCTTAGGGGGTAAGCTGCACTCGGTTGTAACAGCTGGTGGAGAATCCACTTTTACAGGGGATTCAGGTTTAGGAGGCAAGGGGCATACAGCAGGTTCGATTTTAGCAGGCAAGGGACATTCATCTTTAACTTTAGTTGGTAGGGGACATTCAGTAGGTGTGGCCGGTTCAGCTTCGACTTTAGCCGGCATAGGACATTCAGCGGCTTCAACTTTAGGTGGCAAAGGGCATTCTGTTGAAGCGACAGAGGCTACAGCGGGGGTTTCTTCTGGTTTAGGGGGTGGGGACGAAACTTCGGTTACTGGGAGAGCTAAAGGACTAGCTTCGGGAGTTTTAATAGGGCAAACTTCCAAGCCCAGTGGGCTTGTGGGCGTGGGTGGAAGCACTTGTGTAGTTGGCACTACTTGTTCAGCGAGCTGAGTAGTTTCTGTATCTGGCGCAGCTTCTTTAGGAACTTCAGTTTGTTGGGGGGCTTCAGCTTCCTTTTCAACTACTTTTTCTGTTACAACTGTAATATTTAACAGGGCTCAGTATTTTTCAAAGTTAGTTATGTTGATGCCCATTGGTGTTAAAAAGCTGCACACATGCTTGATACTTATGTTTTCTTTGGGTTAGTTTATCAACAAGCATTTGTTCTAAAATTTTGAATTTTGATAACTTTTAAGTACTCACACAGAGGGTTAAATTTTTAAGTACCTACTAGATGGTTAATAAAGGAGATGACCGAATAAGTAATGTACTTAAGAGGTTATCTCCCAGAGGGTATGTTATTACACCCAAGGGTAAGGAGAGTAAGGTTTTGGTTTAAAAATATTTTATTAAGGCCAATTATGATAGCAATGTACATGTTTGTATATGGGCATATTGTTTTTAGTTTGGCTATACAACATGAAAGTTAAATAGGAAACTTTTTGTTTCTGACTTTTACAACTGACCTTCCTCAGTGGCTATTTGTTCTGTAGATTGAAGTTCACTTGCAGTTAAACTTGGTTCTAAATAAGCAAAAATATCATTATAATAGCTGCAATTTAATGATTAATAAAAAACCATACAAATCAAGGGTATAAATAAATAGGTCAAAACAAGCTTGGTGATAAAAGGATGAATGAAAGTATGAATCAAAAAAACGAAATTTATTTATATTTTTTCAACAGTAACATGATAAGCCAATGGTTTCGTTTTTTTGATAGTACAAAGTGGATAATGAAAAACCGTTTTCATGCTAAGCACAGCTCGTTGCATAAAAGATTCCAAATCAAATAAAGGGAATATGGTAGCCTAAATAAAATTAAATCATAGGTAAACGTGCTCTACTGCTTTTTCAGCACACCTTTTGTGGCTTTGGTCTTTACTGGCGTGGCAGCTGGCGTTGCAGCTGGCGTCACAGTAGGCGTGGCAGCAGCTTCTTTTGGCGTCTCCGTTGGTTCAGCAAGTGTTTCGCATATTTTGCTCCAGATATTTTCGAAGGAATCGCGACCAAGGTAATCGATGTTACCCACTTCCCATCCCTGTCTTCTCAGATGATCTTCAAGGGCCATTTGTTCGGCGGATCTTGGCGCTCCCAAGGTCAACTGGGCAAATGCACCGGCCAATCCAGTCTAAATACATATTATATGATAATTATATTGTAATTATTGAGGTGGTAGAGTGAACAAAACAAGAATAAGTGCATTTTGGGTACTTACATCTGAGGGTTCGTCGTCATGGCTAGCGTGCAAAATAGTTTCAGCAGTAGCTTCGAAAGGAGCGGGTAAATCGGGATCGGTTAGATCAGGATCGGGAGAGTGTGTAACACTTATTGGAGAGACTACGTCTACTTTCACGTCGTTCATATTTGAACTGTCGTGTGTTTCTGGCGTATTCGGTAGTAATAATGATAATGGAGGATGATCAGTGTTAATGTTAGCGTTTGTATTATGAGATTCTGAATCTTGTGAATTATGGGGAAATGATTCATTATGATAATGAAATGACTTTTTATCATGATCTACAGAGGTACGTTCTGTATGAATATCACATTGATTATGTTGTTGATGAACGCAATCTTTATTACTTTTGTCAATTTTATCCTGAGCTTCGATAGTATGAATGATGTGTTCCATGACTAAGTGCTGATTTTGAAAATCAACCGAAACATTACCGGTCTGTCGATTGTCGTATTCTTCCCAAGGATCCCAAACGTTTTGGTAATCGTCGGGCGAGGAAAAATCATGGATTTCAGGATTATTGGACCAAAGGGATCTTGAGAGGATAACCGAACTACTTTGTTTGGTGTTTCTTGGTGGCTGAACAAACAAACAAGCATGCAAAAGAAAAGAAAATAAGATAAGATATGCAAACAATAAATACAGCAAAAATAAATAATAAAAAACAATCAAAATCAGAACTCAGAATACAAAGGCAGAACATCACTGCAGTCATGCTCAAAATTTTGCAATGGTGGCGCAAATATATGCAAGTTACTTACATATACTATTTCCTCATTAGGCTTGTAAATATTTCAAACAATTTTATATACATAAACTCGCACGCAATGAATATGAAAGCAATAGAGAAAATCTTACCATTTCTTTGGAAAGTATAGGGTGGATTTTCTCGCAGAAAAGATCCCACCACTTTTGCAGGATGTGTTGTAAGTGTTGCATACCGCCTGACGGGCTGACTTTTCTCGTTTCAGAATCGAAATACTGCAACCAAGGCTTGGCAGGTCCAATGAAGTGGATGATTTTTGCATTGCCGCCGAATTGTTTAAAGGCTGGAAGATACGAGTAACATGCCGTCGAACACATATTATAAATAAACGGCAAATGTTTGCTGATATCTTTATGGGCCCAGTCCGAAAAGTACAAGTTCAGAAGACCTTGATCGCCCCCTAGAAAAAAAAAACAAACCCATCATCTATTTATAAAGAGTTATTTATAGTACTGAAGAGTTTTATTTCGGTTACTTAGAGATATGTAGACGCATTATAAGTATTTTTAGACTTACCGTCGAAACTGCCTTTTTCTAATGCGAATTGCACAAGTTTGTCGTAAGTTTCGTTTGATGGACGGAAGACGAACACTCCGGAGTTAAAACAATCCGGCCAACCGACGTCTGGAGCGGCCGACAGTTCTTCTCTTTCGAACAGCTCGTCGCAGTTTTGGAGGACCTAAGAAGATTTTTAAGGGCATGTTTTGGGATAATTTATTTCATCATAAATATACCATTGTGTCGGCGTCTAAGAAGACGCATTTTTCGAACTGCGTCAATCGCCAGCAGTGGAGTTTAGTGAAAGTCACGCCCAACTCGGGCCTTTTTAACAGTCTCAAGTTAGCCTCATCTTTGGAGTCCAGAATGTTAACTTCCTGCACCAGGTTAAATACCGTGGCCAATTTCTCTCTGCAAAAATTTTTCGTCAGCACCTCGTATTTCGATAATTTTAATGAGCTTTCCGACCGATTACTAACAACTACACAAAACAATAAAAAAAAAACGTTCGGAATTTTAGTCATTTTGCTAAAACATGTGTTTTCGGTTCGGTCGTAAAGGTATGTAATTTTTGTTTTGTTTACTTACTTCATTGAACTTGTTACTCCTGGTGTGACCAACACGGCCAACTGTGCGTTTGTTCCTGCCTGTTTTAAGGAGTGGGCCAAAATTAAGGCACCCAGTGAGTATGAGTCATTTGTGGCCAATGTAACCCATGCAAATCCTAAAAAAGTTTTTGATAAGAACATAGAGGATATCTAAAAATTTAATAAAAGTATATTATCTATCAAGCCATTCTAGTCACGAATTTTAATTATGCACGAGAGAAGTTTGCGAGTTTATAAACGAGTTACAACTATACTTTTTCTACGAAAAATATTTTATCTATCTGTGACTTTATGACGTTTTAGTCACGGGCTGAAGTTATCAACAGTGGCTTTTTGGCACTTTAGTCACGGGCTGATGTTAGCTTTATTATAAATTGCGAAAAAGTGAGGTTAAATTCGTGAAATGTCAAATATTTATGAATTAAAATTTATTTTTATATTAATCTGACATCTGACAAATTTCACGCGAATTTAACATTACTTTTTCTTAATTTATAATAAAGCTAACTTCATCCTGTGACTAAAACGCCATACACTTTATGGCTTAGAGTCAATATAAAAGTATATAATAGTATATTATGTATCAAGTTTGATAAATGCCATTTTATACACGAATTTAATGATTGTATAGAAAAGTTTATAAACGAGATGCATACTTTACTTTTTCTACGACAAATACTTATTATTATCTTAAAATGATTTAAATCAAATATTTTTATAGAGCGCCATCTATGAAACAATAGAGGAATCTGTGTGTCACCGTCAAATGTCAAATTTATAAACACAGATTATAAAAGTTATAAATCGAAATGTATTTCTTGAAAATGGACAGTTTTTTACAGTGAAAGTAAAGAAAATGTTTTATGAGCACTTTACAGTGGAGTCCGTGTCCGAATTTAAGTTATAGTTTACTGCCGGTGAAATTAAAAGGTCAGTACAATGTTCATATAAACTTTTCAAATATTGGCGTTGAGAAACTATTTAATACTTTTGTATTTTTGTATTGAGATAATAAAATAATTTTTACATTTAGTATTATTTTACAAGAAAGGCACTTTATTTTAACGATTGTATGACATTTGACAACTGTCAACTAACTTAAAACTAACTTCAGCCCTTGACTAAAAACCTGTTGCTAACTTCAGCCCGTGACTAAAACGCCGTAAAGCCACAAGTTGTCAATGTGTATTTACATAGTTTTAATTGATCGGCCACATCTTTTTTATCAAAATCAATAAAAACTAGTAAGTCTATTTTTCGACTTATCTAACTTAAAGAAACAGAGAAATATCAGCATATATATAGTGATATTTCTATAGAACTTTATTTCATATTATCATATAAATTAATCAACCCATTGTGGATTAAATTAATTGATTTTTATAAATCTTAAGCAAATGCGGGTTCACATTCTGATTTTATTTATTATGTACCCACATTATACTTATGTATATTTAAAAGCTTCACGGGATATTTCGCTATTGTAGGAGTTATTTTTAATTCGAAATAGTTTTGATATATAACGCCAACAAGGTCTAAAATTAGTCTAAGTAAAGGCTAAAAATAAACAAAATGGCATTTAAACGCAATTAATGGCTTAACAGAATCATCTCTATTATTAAAAATACATTTTATAGGTAGATAGATCAATAATGCATTACAATATTGTGCCGGTAAAATAATACATTTTTTATAGGTTTATTTAGCAAAATAAATACAGAAAACCACGTTGGTTTCTGTAGTTTTTTATTTAAATAAATTATATAATTGATAAATAGAATGTATTGGGATTTTTTATCTCAACATGTGTAAATTTTTTTATAAACAATTTCTCTAAATTGAAATAATACGTCAAATAGTACGTCAAAATGAAGAGATTAAATTTCAATGTTAAATTTTACAGGTCAAAAAATTGCAAAAGAAAATCCTACTCGATAAAAAGTTAAGTATAGAATCTTTGATAATTTTATTACAATAAAGCAATTAATGAACATTAAACACTTAGTTTTTTTTTTACTGTGAAAATTTAAAAAAGCAGTCTCTAAACGCGTGAAGGTCGCTAGGTCAGTGGGTTATTGAGTGTTCGTTTTGGACTAAATTAAAATGGTTCAGTTTTTGCTTACCGCCCATCGTTCCGGCGTGTTTTAAACTTAAGAACAAAAAAAAATGTATATCTAGAATCACAGATAGTCTGAACACTAGCCACCAACTAACTAAAAGCCGAACGAGATTCTTGAATGTGTCCCAAAAAATCAAAACACTGAAAAGACAAGCGTACGCGTACGAATGCCACCGAATCTGTGACGTTCCTGCTACTCGCAGTCCTGAAATAAATTGCAGAACTCCTCCGCTTATTTCAATTCAATTTAACACAATAAATTCATAATTATAGACAAGGTTAACTTATCTTAATTTTGATAAACATTAAATAATCGATTCATCTCGAACGCTTCATACATAAACAAATATTTTACTCATAAATACAGATAATAAAATAGTAAATAATTTTGATTATTGTTTCAAAAATGGCGAATGCGCCGGGAAAGCAACATTTTCCGGAATATTTGACCCAATAAAAAAACTGCAAATGTGCCAAAAAAATGTGTTAATGACTTAGAAATCTATGTGGGTACCAATATCTGCCAACTTTTTTCGATACCATCATGATGACTATTTTAAAAATGTTAATAAATGCGTGACCATTAAATTTATTGAAGATTATTATTAGAAAATTGTTTTAGAAAACTATTTTTAGACGTGCGAATTTTGATGCGCAAAAATAATTTTGCCAAGATAGATTTTTGCGAAAATAAGGCGGTAAATATTATTTACGATGCTTTGGAAGAAATGAGTATTATTTTATTACACGTGGAGAAATTCGTTTAAAATATTTCACCTGACAAAAAGTTTTGTAGAGCGTTTCATTTTTCTAAAATTATCTTTTACAAAGTTTTCGAAATTCCTAAAGAATTGTTAGTTATTTTTTTGGACTGTTTAGTCACGGGCTGAAGTTAGCAACAGTGGCTTTTGGGCATTTTAGTCACGGGCTGAAGTTTACGATAAACAGAAATAAGAATTTAAAGCCAATTTTATTGGTTAAACAGTTGACATCTGTCAACTGTCAACGGATTTAACCTCACTTTTCGCAAATTTACAAATTAGAGCCAACTTCAGCCCGTGACTAATATGTCCAAAAGTCATTGATGTTAACTTCAGCCCGTGACTAAAACGCCATAAAGTCACCTGACAAAAAGTTTTGTAGAACGTTTCATTTTTCTAAAATTATCTCTTACAAAGTTTTCAAAAGTCCTAAAGAATTGTTAGTTATTTTTTGGACTGTTTAGTCACGGGCTGAAGTTAGCAACAGTGGCTTTTGGGCATTTTAGTCACGGGCTGAAGTTAGCTTCATTATAAATTGCGAAAAAGTGAGGTTAAATTCGTCAAATGTCAAATATTTATGAATTAAAATTGGCATAAAATTCTTATTTCTGTTCGTCGTAGATAAAGTATAGTATGCAAATCGTTTTATACACTTCTCTATAGATATAGACACTCGTTTTTTTAAACACTCGCTCGTGCCTAATAAAATTCGTAACTAAAATGGCGTTTTTAAAACTTGATACATAATACTTTTATCTACTTCTACATTAACTAGCTGTGACTTTATGGCGTTTTAGTCACGGGTTAAAGTTAACAGTGGCTTTTGGGCATTTTAGTCACGGGCTGAAGTTAGCTTTATTATAAATTGCGAAAAAGGGAGGTTAAATTCGTCAGAAATTGGCTTTAAATTTTTATTTCTGTTCTTCGTTTTCTCTAGACTTTTATTAAACACTAGCTGGCAAGCTTCGCTCGTGCCTAATAAAACTCGTAACTAAAATGGCGTTTATAAGACTTGAAATTATCACGCTAGGTTTTGAAAAAAAATCGTATACAATTATTTTCTTAATATTCTAATTATTGTTTTCTTATAATATCGAGCAAAATTTTGTCACGTTGACAGATGGCAGATGAATTTTCAAAACCTTGGAACTAAAATATTGTGTGAATTAATGTATACAATAATTATATAGGATTTTTTTTGAAACGTAACATTTTTTTCATTGTTTTTATGCGTATAAATATTTCACTTTTCTGCCGACTCACCCTGTATGCATAAATAAATAGTGCTACAACATTTTAAAACGACCAAATTACTATTTTTGTATACTCAGTTTCATATTGTTGCCTTTTTAGCAGTTTTCTAAATATTTTGTAAAATTTGAAATAGTTTGTTTGGCGGGTCGTATGGTGTGTATAATTTGGCGAGGGTATTGACTATATTGAGGGAAGTAAGAGTAGGCGCAGGCTCCGTAGGGTCGGATAGTATTAAATTAGTAGTGGTGGTGTTCATTTGTTGAAGGAAGTTGCGCTCTCGGCTTTGCCACTAAACCATCGGCTACACAAAACGCTGTTGGTATGGACATAGAATTGAACAGTCGAGGTTTGGACCGCAAAGAGCCGCGCAGATAGAAAGAACGGCTGCTAAACACAGTACGGCATTGTAAGTTAAAACCGAACAAGTGTCAGAATGAGAGGGTCAGCATGACTGATAATCGACGCTTTGACTTTCTGTCAAATAAACTAAGCGAACGATGGCAGATTCCAGTTTGGAGACACAAATTGATTGTTTTTTGGAGCAATTCAAACGCAGTGCTTCCAAAGCCATGGAAGAGGGACACAACATCGTTAGATCGAGGAGCTCGTATCTCGAAAACGAAACACCAGGTATTTATCATTGTATTTTGGCCGCTATTCGCCGGCGCAACGTTCCTGCAACATAGAAAGATAGTTCAATGCACCGCACTTCTCCTGCTGTCTTCGCGATGGCCCCGCAACATGCCCCAAACCCCGCGCCACCACAAATCCCCGCACAGCTATATATAATTACAATTTGCTTCCCCATAACATCATTATCCGGATTCTCCCATATGACAATCTGTGTAAACAAACTAAAATTAGCCGCTTCTTCTAAACATACACTCAAAATAAATCATTATTATTTTATATTGATAAATTTTGATAAACAGCGTTTACACTGGGGAACACGAAAAAGGCACGGGCCCCTTATTAAGATCACCATATACCGGGTGTTTCAGATTAATCGATTTCTGCAATCTACCCAATGTATTTATACCTAAAAGTTAAAATATAATATAGGTAAAATTTCGTTTTTAAAATAAAATATTTTATCTACTCCTACTTTGACGAGCTGTAACTTTATAGCGTTTTATTGACGGGCTGAAGTTAACAACAGTGGCTTTTCGACATTTTACGTCGCGGGCTGAAGTTAGCTTTATTATAAATTGAGAAATAGTGAGGTTAAATTCGGGTGACAGTTGACAGATGTCAAAATTTTAACAAATAAAATTGGCTTTAAATTCTGTTTTGTGTTCGTCGTAGATAAAGTATAGTATGCAACTCGTTTATAAACTTCTCTAGACAGATAGAACACTATAATTCTCAGGTGACGAGATGTCAAAAAAGGAGAAATTGGAGAAAAGTGAGGTTAAAATGACATTTTACATATGTCAAATGTTTAACAAATAAAATTGGCTTTAAATTCCTCTTTAAATTAGAAAATTGGTGGTATTTTTTTTCTGATTTAAATGGTGAAAACAAAAAACAATTGAACGTCGGGTTTCAGAAATATTCACAAAAATAGGGTAGTTATGCAATAATAAAAATAAAACTTTCAGTAGATGGAGTAATATTATAATTGGATAAAAAATTTGTAACATTACCGACACAGGAGATAAATAAATTAAATAATTTGAGTACAATATTTATTACAGGTTTTTATTAAATAAAAACATTTTGTAAATGAAATACTAATAATTTTAAATAAGAGCACCTTTTTTGTGTTTCCCAGTGTTATTTAAAACAGCTTCTTAATATTTACTAAATATTATTAACGCAAATAAAAAAAATTAGAAACCAGTTTCTCTTACCATTTTACTAATTTAAATTGCTATTAAAGCAAAGATTAATAATTTAGGCAGTTTTATAACATAAATTAAATAATTATCTTAATTTCTTAATCGTTTGAAATACTTTAAATTGATAGATGATAGCAATGATTCTTTTATGTCTTTTTTACAATAACAAATTCACTGTTACCTCCTATATATAAACCACGGCTATAATTTTATTAATTCACAATTGCACACTCAAATGAATTGTCTACGTTTTCCTTAAACATATGGTATATATATATAATTATAATTAACCGTTTTTTAATATTAAAAAAGTAATCGGTAAATCGATATATGTGACGTCAGTAATATATAATTGTGTAAGACATAATACACATAAATGGCATATTTCCTCGAAAAAATTAAAGTATGTAAATATATGCATTTTTCGAAGATAATAAAAATTTAGTCATGTCCGAAGATATGTTATCATTTATTTCTTTACATACGACATACTACATTAACATCAGTCCAAGTGAGTAGGTTTTGATGAAATGGTATCATCGGAAATGTGGGAAATAAATTACAATATATGCAAATGTTGGATATGTTGGGTTCTCATCATTTCTCCATTTATTCATTGTTAGCGAAAATACCATACGTAGTCTTAAATTGGATATAATTATTTACTATGGGAGATACACACAGGCATTGATAGGTGCACATGACATATGCATGAAGGTCAGATTACGTAAAATAAGGTTTATGTATGTACAACAAATATATCTTTGATAACATTTGGCTGATTAAAAATGCTACATTAACATAGTTTACAATTGTAATGCTGTTTCGAAAAGGTTAGTTACTTTTTAATCATTTTCACTTTTTACCTAATTTTTACATGTAATTTCATTTACCCAAGTAACAGGTTTATTTAACAATGTTGATCTCTTCTAGAAAGTCATTACACATCTATTTTTAACCTTCACACAAAAAATCATTAAGTTTATAATTACTTTATTTTCATAGACTTTATAGCATAAACATATTAAATCAACACAAAACAAATTTCAAATTTGAACGATTCGTCGGCGGTCGACATTGCGCACGCTCTGGTTCCGCATAACGCACGCGCACGTCGCAAACGCTGTACATTCGTAAAGAGCCTTTAGGAAAAGTGATGGCGTACGAACAGCCGAACCGTTTTCAACTTTGATTGACAATAAGTGCGATTTTATTTGTTGTTACGACTAACTGGTGGTTAAAAACGATGCGAAACGATAATACTTAATCGGTATTGTTGGTTTGAAGCGGTGTTTAAGGAGTTTTGTGTGTGAAATTCGACGAAAAAGGTATGTGTTGATGGCTTGCAATGGATCCATTATGGGCTAGATTTGTTTGGAGACCGTGCGAAAATGATCTTTTACGTATTACATAAAGACGTTTTTCGCTTGATCACTAACCTTCCGTAATTGTGTTACGAAAATTTTGTTTATATTTACCAAAACATTTGGATTTTTGCATAATTTTACGAATCATTGAAAATTGCAGCCAATTTAATCTTAGCAATTCATTGATTTAAACTTTTAACGAGTCTTTAATTTTTTTTACAAAATTTATATTTATATAAATTAAGTATTATTATTACATAAATTATTAAAAATAATATTAAATTTTAAATAATAATATAATTTATAAAGTCATTAATATAATTTATAAAGTCAACTTTATTAATTTACTAGGACAAAGATACTTAGTTAAGATAAATAACTATTACATCAGTGGTTCTTGTATTTTATCCTAAACACCGAGAAATTCTATTTAGTTATAACAAATCTAGCCCATAGATCACTTGTAATTATTTTATTTATCTTTTTAAAAAATTACAAAGTGTTAATTAAATCGTAGTTTATTTAATAATAAAAGTTTTATTGGTGAGTTAAAAAAACTGATGCAACATTTTGCGAAATTTAAAAAAAATTGGTACCAATTGAATCATTTAGAAATTTAAATGTTTAATAAATAAATTATTGTTTTATAGATAATGGGTAAATCGTTTTAGAACCTCATTTCTAAATGGCTCAGGTGGGTGCTGCGGAAAAAGAGGCAAGCGAAGTTTTGCACACTTTGCTATCGGTTGAGAGGATCGAAAAGCCGGAACAAGTGATTGTGGAAAGTGGCGATAATCAGTCCCCTAGCAATTCCTACCCATCTGGCCAAGCCGCTGGTCAAGATGGCCAAGAGGCCGGGACCCAAATACAATGGCACACGCCGGTTTCCATTACTCATTCCTTGTTTTCTTCCATCGACGCCAACGGGCATTTTTCGCACACCATGGATGACCAGCAGGTGGTAAGTAGCACTTAAATGCGGTAATCTATTTACATTCAAAACAATAAAAATTCTTTGAAACATTTGTTTTAGCAAGTGATATGGGATACGGAGACTCACAACATCGACTCGATATACACTGAAGCTGTGGAGGTGGAGACTGAAGCTGAGACGGATCGTGAACAAGCTAAATCTAACGGTAAAACAAAGACTCCCGCATCGCCTTCGAAGAACGTAAAGAAGAAAGTGCCCTTAAAAAAAAAGAAGAAGGCTGCGGCCGGAGCGTCAACGGACTTGGTGTCCAACGATCCAACAAAGTTGGAGGAGAGCGCGGCTCAAGTGAAGGAGAGATTTAAGAGAGGTTGCGAATGCCAGGACGAGAGTTGCTTTCGAGGTTTAAACCCCGAGAGTGTTTACAAACATAGACTGAACATTGCGGAGCTGACTAAAGGGGAGCACGACATGTACCTTATGGGGGTGACGATGGCGTGTCTGGCGAATCCGGACACGACGGTGAGACACAAGGAGCGAAGAAGACTGAGAGCGCAGTACGTGTACCAAGGCAGACGCGTTTGCTTGGACGCGTTCTTGTACCTCGAAAATTGCACGCACTACCAATTGAAACGGATTCGAAAGCACGTTATGACGCACGGGGTGGCCCCCCGAGTGCACGGTAATCACGGAAAAAAGCCTCACAACACCTTCTCGTTGGATATTTACCGACACGCGACTGAATTTCTCAAGCAATATTTGGAGCAACACACGGGGGAAAGAGACATTGTCAACACGAAATCGCCCATACAACTGCCGTGGGATGTGACGCGGAAAAACTTGCACGACGCGTACAAAGAGTACGGGCAAATTTTGGAGCCCGGCATCAAGCTAATGGGATATTCCACGTTTAGGCATTTCATGAAGGAACAATTTCCCCACGTGAAATTCTGCAAGATCGAGCCTAAAAACGTTATTTCGTCCAACCAACAGCAACAAGCTGCTGCTGCAGCAACCGGCGCAACTGTTACCGCGGCTGCCCCGCAGCAACAAATCCATCAGCAGCAGCAGCAGCAGATTCAATCTAACGATAGAACTCTGCAACAAGTACAAAAATGCGTCATCAACAATGACGTGCAGCAGGTCATACCGTTGGTAGTTGCGCCGCCCAATGACGCATCGGCTGCGCAGCATCACCAGCAGACTTTCCTGGTCACGCCGGTACCGCAGATACTGCAAAACGGCAACATTGTAACGCAGCAGAACGCGAACAATCACACGTCGGCAAACACGTTCTCCTATCAGCTCACCAACACTGGTTACGTTATTAACGAACAAGGCAACATTGTCACGACAATGGCCAACGCTCAGCATCATGCTCCTTACACTTTCAGCAGAATTTAAAGTTTATTATCAAGTGATGTAAAAGGTCTATTAACACATTGCGTGCCACGTCTGACATAAGTGACAGACAGTGCTACTTCCTGAGGGGCCAAGACACAATATTCACTACCAGGCCGCGTCTTGCAGATATGCTAGACGCTACACGCTTTATCTTATGGGTTATTAATTTGTGGCCTGTCACGAACATTTTGGTATATTTGGTTCGAGCAAATTCGGAAAATTACCATTTTTTTTTTTTTCGATGATTTATAATAGCAATAATCGCTCATGGCCCCCTATGATACTTTCCAAATATACACGTGGCACGCAATGTGTTAAGCAACACGAAAAAAGTCTTGGGGTTTAAGTACCACGAATTCCTAAAAAAATCAAAATTTGCAAAATTGAGCAAGTGACCGTTATGTTATAAAAAATCAAATCAATAAAAAAATAAAAACAACAATTATTTACTCAATATCCATAAAAATTCAAATATATTATATAGCCCATGTAAAACCTTTCTTATGGGTTGAAGTGTGTATTATCAATCCCCAATTTCTTGAAAAATTGATCTCATTTTGTAAAAAAAGTTTTTTGTTTATCTTAATTAGTATGACAAAAATTACATTTGTATATATGTTAAAAGTTGTATTTTGTGTAAGGTATTTATTTATATATTACCGTTTTATATTCATAAAAATATATACATGTATATATATAATTTTCTAAAAGAAGCATTAGCAAAATTTTATAAATAATAGTATAAGATGTTGTGATAGATCCTACTTTTATAATAAAGTTTTTATTTTATATCGACTTTCATTTAAAAAAAAAAATCTGATTATATCGTAATTTGAGTATAAATTAAATATAAAACACAAAAATAAATTAGTTTATCATAGATTTTGAGGCAATCTTGTTGTTTTGTTTATTGCAGAGGAGCCAGTGCAGGCGTTTTGCGAGGAAATAGAAATGCAAAACACCGCCAGTTTGGAACCTTTTGGAGTGAACGATGTGACCGATTTGCTCCAAAATCAATACGCCATCATTTCCGGCGGCAAATCAAACGATGGCTGCCCCATTATCACCTTCCCGGACAATAACAATTTTCAAATGTTATCAGATTTTGAATACCAAAGGCTTATGATGTATCTTACCTCTGTCCCCTCGTAAATATCCAGCAGTATTTGTACCGAGCGCAAGGGTTTAATTTTTACTTTTTAGGCTGCAAGAGGCGGATCTGGGCTTCCATTTAATTATAGATAGGCGTAAAGATAGGTGGAACTCCGTTAAAACGGTCCTACTAAAAATATCTGTGAGTTTTGCCTTTAGACTCTTTATTCCATTTACAGACAAGCGTGTTTTAGACTTTTATTTATTACCTTTTCATTTAAAGACTGCTATTTGAATGATGATTGGGGAACGGGGTTGTACTTTACTTTTGGAGTTCTAAAACACGTTGTATATTCCAGTAGGTCTAGTGGATGCGTATTAATAGTGTGATTGTAGGTATATTTTCCTGGTTTGATACATGTAGTTTACGTAATAAAGCCGACTAGTTTTTTCCACAAGACGCTGTCAGAAGTTAGCAATAAGCTGTCTAAAGACGAGTTTAAGTTTCGTATGGTCGTTTTAAGTAGTGCCGAAGAATTACACGAGTATATAAACATAAAACAATTAACTTCAGATTTGGGAGGAAGTCTGTCTTATAATCATGAAGGATGGATCGAGCAAAGAATTGAGCTGGAGAAGTTTTCGTCGATAACTCAGGAAGTGTCGGTAGCTTTAGATAATTTTACTAAATCCATTGAGGAGAATGAGTTGCCAAACAATGTCGATTCAACGCAACAGTTGTTGAATAGACAAACGCAATGCTATTCGGACTTGAAGGACGAGATTCTTTCGGCCGCGAAGCATGGCGAAAATTTGCTCTGCTCTTTTAAAGACAACACTTCGGAAAATGATATGGTGGGCAATGTTTTCGCGGTGGAGAGACTTCTGGTGCAACTAGAGGAAACTGAAAACACTTTCGATGATTTTTGGCAGCAACATTCAACAAAGTTGAAACATTGCTTGGAACTGAGACGATTCGAGCAAGATTTTAGAGAGTTACAGGGTAACTTTGAATCCCACTTTAAGACAGTATTGGAGATGAAAGAGACTGGAGATACTTCGTGTAGAGTTGACACTTTGATCAAAGACACTTTGGTGTTTGACAAATTGTGCTCTGTCGACATTGAGAGAGCCGAGGAAGTCATTGCCTCAGGACAGCATCTGTTGAAGCAAAATTCTTGCCCTTTGGAGTGCGTACAGCCGAAATGTTTGGAGTTGAAACGAATTAGGGATATTTTAATTGAGCGGTTGGCCTTGCGAATGGATACTTTAAATAAATGTCGAGATTTAATGGAAACCATCGAAAAGGTATGATATAAAGATAGCAGATTAAATTTAGATGTTAGGCGGGTAAAAATAGTTTTAATACTGTCGTCTTAACCTTTAAAATAAATCTAAGCGGAGTGCGATATGTTTTTTTTATTTTTATTTTGAAGGCGAATAAATGGTGCGCCATTGGTATAGATCTTCTGGCTTCGCAGAAAATAGAGAAATGCGCCAACTCGACGGAATTAGCGGAAAAATACCTTCACGAAATTCAGGAATTCATTAAAACCTCAAATGAGTTTACAAATAACCCAGACGAATTGAAAAACATATTTCAAGATTCAATCACCTCCGAAACCAAAGCATTGGTTACACAGGTATGTGCTATTATTTATATATGTGTTGTTTTTCATTTTATATTATTTCAGGTGATGCAGAGAATCGATGATATCTCTTTAATGAGCGATAACAGAATAACATGTTTGAATAAAATAGTGAATAAGCCCATTCGCCCGGTGCAAACCGTTATACCGGAACCAGCTGTTCCCAGACAGCCCCAGGGTGGAGCACCTCAGCCCAACAGGGCTGAAAACAGAAGAGCCTACACAATAAACAAAGTAAGGCCTTTTTAAATTCTTATAACTATTACAAGGTAATTTCTAACTTGACGGTTCCTTTTTAATCCTTGGCAATTAGCTTTAGTATTAAAATCGTGAAAAGTATTTACTTTTTTTTTACTATTATATAAACCTGAAGATGCTATAACGAAATGAAAGTAATTGTTTTTATTTTAACTTTCACTGGTAAGTAAAAAAAGCGCAAGGAATTTAAGTAGGTACCTAACTGTTTCTGTTAATGTCCATTTGAAGACCAAAACGATTATATTTCGGATTTGAATTGTATCCCTTGTATTTCGTTGTTGTTATGTTGAGGTCGGTCAACGCCTTACGGTTAATGGCGATTAAAAAACTCGTTTCCGAGTATACTATACTATACTGCTATAGCAGAACCTTTTTTAATAATTTTCTTCGGTTCAGTCTCGATGAGAACGTTCAGTGAAATGGAAGTGAGACGATGGCATGTTGATGATGCACATCAAGAAAACATGTGTTTATATTTAACCATTTATTCGGATTATAACGATTTATATGGATATCATTATCAAGTTGTATGTAATTTTTTTTATTTGTTTATTTATTTTTAAGTTACAGAGTTATTACCGAATTTCGTATTTATCTAAAATCTAACAGTTAAACGAAAGGGCTTTTAATTTCTTCTATTATCTCCAAATATGATATGTTTGAAAATTTATTACAAAAAAAACTGCTTATATTTTTAATTTATAACGTAATTGTAATTTGTAAAGTGTTTACGATTAGCTTTATAACAATCAATTTTTAACGGTTAATCCCAGATAACATTCGTGAGTTCACCGTGAATGCACGGTGAAAAATATTGCTTCACGCGTGAATTCACGGTTGCTAAAAGATGCGTCCGCCCCTGGAATTCACCGTGAATGCACACGTGAAGATATATCCGCCCATTGAATTCACCGTGAATGCACACGTGAAGATGCGTCCGCCCCTTAAATGAACACATGAATTCACCGTGAATGCACACGTGAAGATGCGTCCGTCCCTTAAATTCACCGTAAATGCATGCGTGTTCTAAATTCGCGCGAAAAAAATGAAATAAGGGTGCATGTTCAGAAAACATATTTTCCCCTATATAGTAAAATAAGTTTTCTGAACAAAAAATGTGCATTCACCATAATTTCAATTTTTTCGCGCGAATTTTAGCATGCATGCGCACTCACTTCGAGCTTCACTTGTGCATTTACGGTGAATTCAAGGGGAGGGCGCATCTTCGCGTGCGTATTTACGGTGAATTTCGTGCGTATACTCAATTTTTTTGCACTTAATTTTAAATTGGAACACAAAATAAAACGTGTTATTTTTTAAAATAACAGATTTTGTTATATTTGTAAATAAAGTCAAATGAAAAATGTTAAATAAAGATGTGATTTATGTCCAATTGGAGAATATTTTTTTAGACAATTATGCCATCCACGCCGACGGTGGTCTAGTGGTTAGTGCTGCTGACTACAAGCCGGAGGTCGTGGGTTCGAATCCCACCAGGGGTATGGCTGTTTATTTGTGTTTGTCCTATTGTGTATTAGTCCTTCGAAGGGGACTTTAAACCCGCAGTCCGTTCCTACCCCTAACCGGCACAAGCCATTCAGTTGGCTTATGGGAATTCTTAAGAAGTAAGGGTGGAACTAAAAGAGCACTTTTGTATAAACTTTGTATAATTAAACTTGAGGTACAATAGTATACTGAAATAAAACACAAAGTGTTATGTTGTAAAGTTTATTCCGAATCAACCTCAGAGGTTTCAATGTCCTCTTTAACCTTAAAAAAAAATATGAATTATAACATCAATAATACTAATTAATGCATACACATGAGTATAATACTGTATAATATTTTATTATAATATATATTATGTATCACATATATGAAATTACATCTACATATTCATCACTGGACACCAGTGGCGGCTGGTGGATTTTAAGTATACCAATATCTCAGTTATTAGACATGGGACCCACACCAAATTTATAATAGTTTATATTGACATTAAATAAACAAGTTCGGCGCAAACAGAATTTAAATTGAAGTTTGCGAAAAAAAGTTAGTTTTTCCTGTCGCCTACCCTGCCTCCAGGCCCCCCTATTTGAGATAATTCAAATTAAAGTGGTGCAATTTATTATCTACTATAATTTATCGACAAATTTAAAATTTTATTCAAAAAATCCAAATATTACACATTTTATTCGATTTTAAATTTTTATTATTTATTTTTCCCCTTATTTTAATTTCTTTTTGGTCCTTAAAAAATATATAAATTATAACATTATTAATGGATTAAAGCATTTATTTACAAGACTCATTTTATAAAATTTAATAAATATTATTTAAAAAACGCTTAGAACAAAAAAAATATTTATTTTTGTGTATAAAGAAAAGTCTTGCGATAGCTAATAAAAATATTCTGTATTAATTAATTAATTCATTTATTTTATTGATTAAAAAATTGTAAAATATTTGTCGACTGTATATTTACTAATAAAAATATTAAAATGGATGTCATATTTTGAATTCAAATAAAAACAAATCATTCAAACCAATTCAGCCGAGCGCGGCTTCGACTCATGAGGCGCGGATCCTTGCAGAAAAAAAATAATAATGTTTAAAGAAATGCCGGGCAGTGAAATTTTTTTTTCAGGATATGAAACCTTTATATCTAGTACATGTAACCATGAAAAAAACTTTATTATTTGATAGAGACTTTATCAAAAATTTGAATTGTATATTTCAATGATCAAAAAAAATATAAAAAAATTTAAAAAAAAAAGTCCTGAAAATTTCACTACGAAACTTTTAACAGTTTTTTCACAATTAATTTTTTAATTAAAAGTGAGAAAAATCTTTGTTACAAAAAAACTGTTAAAATTAAAATAAAAAAAAATATAAGTCGTTTTTTCGCGTAAATACTATGTAATACTACGGTTAAATAAGTCATGACGTCACAGTTAACTCATATAACCATGGTTAGGTTCTAACATTTGACATTTGTTTACTTGTTCATAACCTATAATTTTTGAAATGTGTTTTTACCTATTTATATTTAATTTCTATGCTTTTACCGGTGTAAATAAATTTCTTTGCCTCTTTTTATACCTAGTATATTCTTTTTCTATAGGTACTAGTTTTTTTAATACACGTTATCCAATTCTCCTACATGTTTAATACAAAATAAGGAAGAATATAAAAAAACCTGCATATAATTCCTCCACTTGTGGAGATTCACCCCGTTTACCATTTTAATACAAAGTTTAAATTCGGTTTAAGAGCAATTGTACCTATAGGTATACTTAAAATATTTTAAATTTCAAATGTAAACAACTTCTTGACAGATCGAAACAGAGAAAAATATATATTAAAAATAGAAAGACTATTAACCACGTTGAATAACTAGCTCAGCGATATAGTTTTATGGTCTGGTATTTGTGACGTCATAGTTAGGATTTTTGAACGCACTCTAAACGCAAAAATGCCTTAACTATTAACCACGGTTAAGTTTAATAACCATAGTATTTCATGGTATTTACGCGAAAAAACGACTATATTTTAAGGAAATATTGTTACTAAAGACTACTAACGATTGATGTAGGTATTAAAATTTAAATTCTATTACCAAGTGGAAAATGGGAGGTCCACTTGACGTGATCTGACTCAAAAACAAAAACAATGAATAAAAACTTTATAAAAAAATATAACTACAATAAAGCGTTATAACCATGGTTATTCATTGTTTTTGTTGTTTTTGCAATAATTGTAACAATTATTATCAGTGCACTGATCTACTATAGTATATATACAATAAAATTCGTATCTTAAATTTGATCATGCTAAAATATAAAAATGTCAAACTTACCTTTAGAATTCCTGGCTAGCAACTTAAGTATTTATGAACTGAATACCTATATATTATAAAACTGAAAAACTGAACCAAGATACATACACCTTGAAACTGAACGTTTATCTCTGAACCATAGAAAAAGGATATGAACTGAACGTTTTACCGGTATACAGGATATCTAGCTAGATGTTTACCATATATGGTATTCTATAGAAAACCTCGTGGCTCTTAGCTGCGTACGCACACTAACGCTGCAGTGTTGCCGGATTGCAGCCGGATGATTTTCGTGAAAGTTCCCGACCAAAAATTACAAAATACTAGAAATTACCCACACGAGTAAAAATTTCTAGTACATTTGCTCAATTTGGAAAAGTGAATTAAATTTTGAATAAATTAAGAGAAAAATAAAAGGATAGAATTAAAGAATTATGTTTAGTTAGTAGTTATACAATATTATTTACTGAAAATTTCTTTGAAAAGTAAAATTTATAAAATACCTGCTTCAATATTTTACTTGCAAGCATGATGAAATACGCGATTTTCAGGTCAAATACCTGCAAGCGGCAACCCTGCATTTAGTTGAAATGTGACGGCCATAGGCGCATGCGCACGAGTGCCCGCGTATTTGGTTTTGCAATTATTATATATAATTATTATTACCTATAGGTATATTAAATATTAATAACTGATATTAATTAAAAAATGTACTTTTTTATTTTCCGTTTAATATTTAATAAAAATCTTTAATTAATATTCCTTTAATGTTATGTTTTCTTTTTCTTATTTCGAATTCGGTCTTCAAATTTATTTTGATAGGGTAGGTATACCTTCCCTATAAAACAGAGGTATAGCTAACCTATTAAAATAAATTTGAAGATCTTTAATTAAACGTGCTAACAGGTCTGTATTCACGGCGTGCGTCCGGTGTGAATTAAATGTGCATAATAAATGTTAAGGGGCATCCATTAATTACGTGATGTGTTTAGGGGGGGAGGGGGTCGAGCCAAACCCCACCCAATCTCACGTGGGGGGAGGGTGGTCTCGGCAAATATCACGTAATTTTTGAAAAAAATGAAACAGTGTAAAATGGCGAGAAAACTGGGTTAAATTAAGTAAACAATTATAACACTTGTTTTTTTTTAATAAATCTAATGGAATCAATCACAGATTAACTTATTTACATTAAAACAATGCATTTTCCCAAGGCGAGGGGGGAGTCGAAAAATCGCCAAAATTGCCTCACGTAATTAATGGATGACCCCTTATCTGTGAACTTACGGTGAATTCACGATGCACTTAATTTTAAAGATTCATGGCGTGCGCCCGGTGTGAATTTAATGTGCATTACGAATGTAATTTCGAAACTCACAGTGGATTCACAATTAATTAATTTTTAAAGATTCACGGCGTGCGCCCTATGTGAATTAAATGTGCATTACAAATGTTATCTGTGAACTCACGGTGAATTCACGATGCATTCAATTTTGAAGATTCACGGCGTGCGCCCGGTAGGAGTTTAATGTGCATTCAGGAATGTAATTTGGAAACTCACTGTGGATTCACAATGCATTCATTTTTAAAGATTCAGGGCGTGCGCCCGGCATGAATTATATGTGCATTAAGAATATTATCTGGGAACTCACAGTGAATTCACGATGAATTCATTTTTAAAGATTCACGGCGTGCGCCCTATGTGAATTAAATGTGCATTACAAATGTTATCTGTGAACTCACGGTGAATTCACGATGCATTCAATTTTGAAGATTCACGGCGTGCGCCCGGTAGGAGTTTAATGTGCATTCAGGAATGTAATTTGGAAACTCACAGTGGATTCACAATGCATTCATTTTTAAAGATTCAGGGCGTGCGCCCGGCATGAATTATATGTGCATTAATAATATTATCTGGGAACTCACAGTGAATTCACGATGAATTCATTTTTAAAGATTCACGGCGTGCGCCCTATGTGAATTAAATGTGCATTACAAATGTTATCTGTGAACTCACGGTGAATTCACGATGCATTCAATTTTGAAGATTCACGGCGTGCGCCCGGTGTGAGTTTAATGTGCATTCACGAATGTTATCTTTTATTTTTTACAACTGCATTTGTTTGATGCTGCATTATTGTTAGATCTAAACTAGCAAAATTTACTATTCGTTTAATTTTTTTTTGCAGTAAAACTCGAATGCTTTTTTTCTTATTGATAAAAATAGCTATGATGCATCATAAAAATCCATGCATGAAAAAGATATTGATGTAAAATGTTTTTAATCCGTTTAAGTCTATTTTTCCGGTTTAATTAGAAGCGACTATCATTTTTGTTATTTCAAATAGAACACCCCATTTATTTTTACATTTCTAAATTCTAAATTTTGAACAATGACAGATTACGCGGTAACCATAGAAACTGTCAACACACCCGTCATAGTTTTCTAGATGCAAAATAATATTTAAAATTTTAGAAAAATAAAAATAACAAAGTTATTAACCTTCTAATTTAGCCTAATTTGCCCTGGGCTTTCTCAGGTAATTTGTTGAAAAATGATAAAAAAAATTGACAAACAATTTTTAAGAAGTTTAAGAAAAAAAACTGTTTACATGGTATAATAATTTTACTCAGAATATTATACAAAATTTAAAAATATATGGGGTTTTTATTTGAAATAAAAAAAATTTTGTTTAAAATATTTTAGAAAAATATACTTTAATACTTTAAAATTTTAAATCATTACTTTTTACTAAAAATATTTGTAAAAAATGATTATATAAATTTTTAGTTGATATTGACAGAATATTGCCGTATTTCTTTTGGTTTAAAATCTATATCGTAATAAAAAATTTGTATCATAATGTAGTACAGGTAGGAAATTTGTAATAAACAAATTAAATTATGGAAGATAAGTTTTATTATTTTATATTATTATTTTTAAATTAAAAGATTTTAATACAAAACCATGTAACACTAAAAATTAAAAGATTTTGCAACCATATTAATTTTATAATGGTTTTATCTTGTTAAGAAATTTAATTTTGCGACGGAAGTCAAAATATCTTAGGTAACAGCAAAATTATAAATTCCAAACAGCATATGGATGATATTTATGTAATGTATCACCAGTCGCTTACATTTTTATGTAAATGTATTAAAAACGATAATTTATATAATTAAGATCTGACCCACAAAATATGTATTTGGGCTAAAGTACATGTAGTACTGTTATTTACTGGTATTGGTTTTTATAGATATTTGGAAAACTGACAACATTATTAAGTGCTTGAATTTTAATGATTTTCTTCTTGATTCAGGACGAAGCAGATGTTGATGAAGTAAATAGGATTAAAACTGGTCATGTTTTGACTGAATTATTAGAGACTGAACGCCTTTATGTATCCGAGTTATTATCGATTATTTCAGTAAGTGGATAAAAAAAAATAAGGAAAAAATGCAAACTCAAGTGCGACTTTTAGGGCTACAAACCAGAATCACAACCAGTGGAGCTGCAAGACTTAATACCCAGTGGATTTCATGACAAATTTAACGTGATTTTCGGCAATTTAGAGGAAATTTACAATTTTCATTCGGAAACATTTTTGAGGGATTTGGAGAATTGTATATCCTCCACGGACTTGGTTGGTTTATGTTTTGTGCAAAAGGTAAACCTCATAAAAAAAACAAGATGTAATTACTTAATGAATTTTCTTCCAGCGTGATAGATTTTTTAAGTTGTATAGTTACTACTGCCAAAACATAACGAGATCAGAAAGCCTTCGGGAAACGTCGACGGAACTTCAGCCGTACTTCCAAGCTTGCCAGCTAAAGCTGGGCCATAAATTACCATTGGCCGCTTACTTGCTAAAACCAGTTCAAAGAATAACTAAATACCAGTTGATTTTGAAAGACTTACTGCGCTATTCCGTCGAATCAAAGTGCTGCAAGCAGCTGCAGCAAGCTTTGGACTGTATGCTGGTGGTTTTGAAATGTCTCAACGACAGCATGCACCAAATTTCGATAACAGGCTTCGCGATGAACCTGGCCGAACAGGGCGATTTATTATTGCAGGGGTCCTTTCAAATCTTAGTGGAAACAAAGAAAGAAGTGGTGCTTAATTTGAAAATAAGAACACCCATAAACAGGCACTTGTTTCTCTATGAGAAAGCCTTAATTTTTTGCAAACCTTTGGCCAAGTCGTCGCACAATAAGGCAACCTATCAGTTCAAACATTGTTTGAAGCTGTCCCAAATCGGCCTCACTGAATCGGTGAAAAACGACAGTAAAAAGTTCGAGATTTGGCTTGAAGGACGGACAGAAGTCTACACCATAACTGCAGCTACAGTCGACCTGAAAAAGGCATGGGTCAATGAAATCAAAGGGGTTTTATTCAACCAATTGGAAGAATTGAAGGGTGAAAAAAAGAGGTTGTATTCCACCATGACTCCAACGTTACCGTAAGTAACCAAAATATCATCGGAAAACCATTTATATACATTTTGTTTTTTATTCCAGGCAATTAAAGCAAACCACATCATGGGAAAATCAAAAATCTCTAACCTCAAGCCCCTCGTTAATCGAAAACAATCAAAGAGCGATGAGTTGCGATTCAGAGAGTCATACCACTTCGTATGATGAAGAAATTGAAGATAGTAGTAACTGGTCATCAGATTGTACAAATAGTGATGATGACGATCAACCTAACACAGCTCCTTTCCCTGTGAGTATTCGAAAAATAATAATTTAATCTTGATCTCAGGCTTGGCTTCTGTTTACTGCCAATCAAGTCGCAACCTGACTTTTCAAAGAGCTCTAGATTCAAATGTTGAGGCTTGATTGCGCTGATAGGAATGGCTTATTGTTTGATTTTTCTTCAGTACATAACTTTATTTACAGTTACCTGGTGTGGTGAAGGGTCAGAGTAAAGTACAACGGGTTGTAAAATATTTCATTGGTGCTCAAGCCCAAAATACTTCAACATTTTATGTTAAGCATTTCTAATCATCCAATCCGTATTTTATTTAGTTATAGTAAGTTGAATGAATTATTTAAGGTGTTTTTTTCAGTTTTTTTTTTATATATACACTATTTTTAGAAAGTTATTGATGTAAGAATTGTTGTCATCTGTTTATACCATTCTTTTATCAATAGCACTATTTTTTATTTTGTACATGCACACCATTAAATAATAAAAACCATCGCATGTTAAATAATTTTTAATAATAACGTATCAGAGGTCTTCTAGGTCAAGGTTACATTCATGAATATTTTATAAAATTTATCGGTTTTTAATCCATTATTTTAATGACTCAATTTAAACTTACTTGGCCTGGATAAACCTTTAGTAAACTGTACGAAATTGATATACGTATTTTCACGGTAAGAGTATACAGACGGAGTGCCTTCAAACTTTTTATGTAGCTGAATCATCTTTAAAAGTAAATTAACTTAATAATTAAGAAAAGCGTTTCGACGACTTTAACGTCCGCTGTATGCACCAAAAATGAAAATACGGTATACTACTAATAAATCGCTTTACTAAAAATAGTAGTACTAAAGATAGACCTAAATTATATTTGGTAGTAGTTGTAATAGTTGCTAAAAATTGATGTTTTTTTGTACATTTTCAGAGTGGCCGTTATATAGCCTTAGCTGATTATTGCGCAGTGGGCAATAGTGAGGTCAATATGAGAGAGGGTGATATTGTTGAGTTGCTCAAAGTCGGCTGTGCTGGTTGGTGGTTTGTTAAAGTTATAGGTAAGATTAATACGTGATACGAGGGTCATTTGGAAAGTTCTTGATTTTAAACAAAGATACGAGGTGTGTTCAGAAAATATCGGGAATTTTCGTTTTTTGAAACAAATATTTATTTATTCGTCTACATTATTGTTGTCGCCTTCAAAGTAGTCCCCATTGGACATTATGCACATGTGCCAGCTCTTCTTCCAATACACGAAACACTTCTAAAATCGATCTTTGGGATAGCCTTTAGTTCTTTCAGCGATGCGCTTTTAATGTCATCTATGCTTGCAAAACGACGGCCCTTTAAGGTTCTCTTTATTTTTGGGAATAGGAAAAAGTCAGGCAGAGGCATGTCTGGCGAATATGGAGGCATCATTACAGTATTGTTTTTGGCCAAAAATGTTGTTCAAAATTTAACAATTTTAGAACAAATTTTTCTGCCACGCGTTTCATATCCAAAACATTCAAAAAAATTTCATGGGATGAGCCAATCGATATACCAACATCATCAGCGACTTCTCTGATGGTTTATAACCATTTCTTCCACTTTTTCCATGTTTTTATCGGTTGTTAATATGCTTGTGCGTTCGGGACGTTCGTCATCTTCAACGTCTTCACGGCCATCTTGGAAACTCTTATACCACTTGTAAACTCTTGTTTTACTTATAGCAGACTCACTATAGGCCTTTGTTAACATTTCACAGAATTTATTTAATTTTTTAAGCAAAATTGGATACAAATTCTTTGATCCATTTTTTTTAACGAACGAAAAATCGCCGAGCTCATAAAACACGTCTAACCTTAGCGGCTGCCACAGACAAAGTAAACAATAAAAACAGCTAAAGTTTTTATGATACTTCGGGGGCATGTATACCAACATAATTAAGAAAATTTTATGACAACCGGACCCTCCGAACCCGCGAAATTTAACAATTCCCGTTATTTTCTGAACACACCTCGTACATATAAACGGTGTCTCAACAAGAACTTGAATTTTGAATGTAGGTACATTGTTTTTCTCTTGTTCTCTTATAAGTACTGTTTCTGAGGAAAGCTTTTTCATATTTTTAGATACTTCTGTGGAAGGTTGGGCCCCGGCAGCCTATTTAGACAACCTTCATCGCAAATGTTCGAGAAGTAGCAGTCGAAGTCAGGACAGGTTGAACGATTGATTGACCAGCCAATTGTTTTTGGCCAATAGTCCAATAGTCCTTTTGTAGGATATCTAGGCTGTCCTAATTCTATGTAATTTATTACCTTTTTATTATACATATACGTATTACCTATGTATGTAAACAAAATTCGTTGTTTATACACTTTTATTTATTTATTTAAATTGTGCAGAGTTTATTGATTGTTTTATTATTTTGACTCTGGTTTTGTGATTTTATGTTTTTTAAATTTATTGTAGTACTATTGATTAAGCTGTGACTCTTCACTCAACGGTAGTACTAAACATATCTGTATTTTTTTGTTTAAGAGATATATTGACCAAAGTTATACTTTTTACGTTTACTTCAGGCTATTTCTAATGAAACAAAAGTGTAACAATAACTGCAATAAAGTAAAAGTAAAGTTATTTGTGCCTTGGGTAAGCGTGTTGTTTTAGTACAAATTTTAATTTTTCAAGAGCTTGTTATTCCAAATAATTTTTTATTCCATTGTTTCATCGACAATATACCTAGTGTATTTATTTGTAACTAGCATGCGTCAATTTCCCCATAATAATTATTACTTTACCAACTAGAAATTACACCAAAACTATACTGTTAAGCGTTTAAACATATTAAACTTACTGTTTTTTAGATACTATAGGTATTATAATAACCATTTTATAAGCTCAATTATGCGGTATCGTAATAATTATACATTTAATTATAGAATTAAATAGAATTGTCAATATATTATTTATTATAAATATTATACATTTTATTTCAAATCCCACCCAACTCAATCTGAAAGATGCATGAATTATCGATTTATTTTTATCTAAAACAAACAGTTTATTCGCAGTTTAAAAAAACAATAACAGTAACATTAGTACAATGTCTTAGTGTATTAGTCAATACATTAGTCTAGAGTGCCTGGCACCCTAAAATCGTACAATTATTGCAAAATAAAATAAATAATTGAGCATAAGTGCTACGTGAATTCTGGGTTGCCTATGATACACGATTCCATTTCTACACTACCGAAACTGGTGTAGTATCCTATATGTTTAAAGGTTCTAAACAAAATGTCCTGTCAAATATTGTTGGACAACTATACTGGGTCTTATAAAACCGGTGACACCATAAAGGGAAGATTTCAAGTCAATTTAAACAGCAGAAAAGATATTAGAGGTAATTATACCGTGTGTTACATTGTTAACTAAACAGTGCATTTTTAAGGAATTAAAATCCTTATAAAATGCAAAGAACGCACTGAGTGGACAGTGGACGTGCTATATACAGGGAATAACGAAATACTGTACTCGGAGCTAAAAGTGCGAGGTGACGGTAAAATTGAGGCAGGACAACATACGTTTCCATTTACGTATTTTATATCGCCTGATTTGCCTTCAACCTACAATGGCTCTTATGGAAGCATTTATTATTATATTAAAGGGGTTGTTGATAGGCCCCTTAAATTCGACTATAAGGATAAAGTTTATTTTTCCGTATTTTCACCAATTGATTTTAACGTGCTTGGTGGTTATTTACAGGTAAGTGTATTATACAATTTGCTACATACGAGACAACCCCTAAATAATGACAAGTTAAAAACCCCACAAGCTCACAAGCCACAAAACAAAAAGTCATTGTCTTCATTTGGGATTAATCTGAAATGAAGACAAACCGAATTGACTACAACAAGCTAAATTGACAACAAACTAAAGGACAAGTTAAAATAGTTACAAGCTGAAACAGTGGCGGACTAAGCCCTTCACAACCGGAGCTCTAGAAGCTCTCCGCAGCTGGAGACAAGTAGTTTTTCTTAAACCGGGATATACATTTTTGGTGAAGCTTTTTCGTTCAACGAGATCCCTTGCGTGGCATATTTTTTTAATCAGTACCTACATATACATATACATTTCTTAATGATGCTTTTGGGTCTTGGAGGCCTCTTACAAACGAGGGCCTCGGTGCACTAGCCTAGTTACGGGTCTAGTGTAGATATCGTAAAACCCTGGCTGTAACTAAATACGAGTAGATATGTTATTGGCATGCCCTTACTAAACAAAAAATGTCAGTGTTATTATGGAAGCCCTTAGTCCGCCACTGAGCTGAATTTTTGTGCTGAAGTTTATAGTACAACTTTAGATAAAACAGTGGAAAGATTGAGTTCAATTTCTAAATACCAAACTGCACTGTTTATTTTAAGGAGCCCAAGGAAGCTGGAGACGAGAAGAGCGTATGTAGTTTATGCTGCGCCGGCGGACCAGTAAGCTGCGACGTGTACCTCGACAAATACGCTTTTGTAATTGGCGAAACAATAAATGTCAAAATTAAAATTTTAAACGTGTCGAATGTTAGTGTGGATGGTGTCAGGGTTAACTTGACGCAGAGGGTTACATCGAGTGTAAATTATCCGCATTCTGATTCAAGGTACGAAACGGATACCATTGCGGAAAATGAGCACAGTGCTCTAGAAGCATGTGGAGCGCACGAATTCGTCGTGCCTCTTAAGATACCCTAGCACACACAGGCCTACAATTTCTCATCTTCCGCTCTATTCGATGTTTCGTATAAACTTAAGGTAACATTATTTATAAGAGTGTCAATTACTAATAAGTAGTCTATAGGTTTCCTGTGAGCTAGATGGTTGCCACTCAGATTTAGATGTGGAACATTTTCCGAAAATAGGACACATTCAACTTGTAAATCAACCAATAACTGAACAACTCTACACTCAACCGCAACCAAGACAAGATGAATGGGAGGAAGTGGATGTAGCCGTAAATATTGCAGAAGATGTTGATGGTACCATTGGCAAGCGGAGCACTTCCATACCCACCTGAAAAAATGCCCTAAGCTACATTTTCAATCAACTCTGAAGCTAGCTTTAGAGAGGGAGTGTGTCGCACACGTAGAGTGGCTATTTTCAACCGATGCATGCAAAATTTCGCGCCGAATTTCAAATAAGCTGGCGCTGCGATTGGACAATAACAATGTCAAAATTTGGGGTTACGTAAATTATCTTTACGTTTGTTGTTTTGGTGTAGTTTATTTTATTTAATATGTGTAGCGAAAACCCTATTGATATTATACCTATAACACATATATGCACTGTAAATAAACCATGACATGCTGTGTTTTTATGAAATAACAACTTCAGTCTTCAAAATGAATGAATATCTAACGACTTATTTTTATATAAACCAAACAGTTGTATGCACAGTTTGAAAAAATAAGCACTAGTGCTCAACGTATTTTAACATAACTTAAAATTGGGTGATTTCTTTAAATATTGTCCATTGTGTGATCTGGGTTGCCTACTTTAAGGTTATGGTGGGGAAATTTAGGTTAACGAGGATATCTCTTTTTGCAGTATGAGATCTGGTTACGTAAAAGGCCTTGAAATTTTGTCTAGACAAAACGTCGACAATTGGGGAGTGCCTGGTGCTAACAACTTACTGGATAGAACTTTCCAGAAAATCGTACAATTATTGCAAAATAAAGTAAATTCTTGAGATTATGTGCTACCTGTGTTATGAGTTGCCTATGTAAGTAAAACAATTTCATTTCTGCCAATTTATTCTTAGTTAACCGAGTAACTGTTTTAGTATTTTGATGTATGCATAGATAATAGTTCTAAACAAAATGTCCTGTAAAATATTGTTGGACAACTATACTGGTTCTTATAACACCGGTGACACCATAAAGGGAAGATTTCAAGTCAATTTAAACAGCAGAAAAGATATTAGAGGTAATTATACCGTAGGTTATATTGTTTACTAAATAAGGTATTTTTAAGGAATAAAAATTCGTATAAAATGCAAAGAACGCACAGAGTGGACAAAGAGGGAAAGTCACTACAACCACAGGACTAAAAAGCACGAATCGCGCTACGTGCAGTATACCGGGGATAACGAAATACTGAGCTTGGAGCTAAAAATGCGCGGCGAAGGTTCAATTGAGGCAGGCCAACATACGTTTCCATTTACGTATTTTATATCACCTGATTTGCCTTCAACCTACAATGGCTCTAATGGAAGCATTCATTATTATATTAAAGGGATTGTTGATAGGCCCTATAAATTTGACTATGAGGATAAAGTTTATTTTTCCGTATTTTCACCGATTGATTTTAACGTGCTTGGTGGTAATTTACAAGTAAGTAAGTTTATTAGACAATTTGCTACATACGAGACAATCCCTAAATAATGACAAGATAAAAGCTCACAAGCCACAAAACAAAAAGTCATTGTCTTCATTTCGGATTAATCTGAAATGAAGACAAACCGAATTGACTGCAACAAGCTAAATTGACAACAAACTAAAGGACAAGTTAAAATAGTTACAAGCTGAAACAGTGGCGGACTAAGCCCTTCACAACCGGAGCCCTAGAAGCTCTCCGCAGCTGGAGACAAGTAGTTTTTCTTGAACCGGGATATAAATTTTTGGTGAAGCTTTTTCGTTCAACGAGATCCCTTGCGTGGCATATTTTTTTAATCAGTACCTACATATACATGTACATTTCTTAATGATGCTTTTGGGTCTTGGTGGCCTCTTACAAACTAGGGCCTCGGTGCACTAGCCTAGTTACGGGTCTAGTGTAGATATCGTAAAACCCTGGCTGTAACTAAATACGAGTAGATATGTCATTGGCATGCCCTTACTAAACAAAAAATGTCAGTGTTATTGGAAGCCCTTAGTCCGCCACTGAGCTGAATTTTTGTGCTGAAGCTTATAGTACAACTTTAGATAAAACATCTTTCCACTGCAGTGGAAAGATTGAGTTCAACATGGTTCAATTTTTAACTGTACCAAACCAAACTGCACTGTGTATTTTAAGGAGCCCAAGGAAGCTGGAGACGAGAAGAGCGTATGTTGTTTATGCTGCGCCAGCGGACCAGTAAGCTGCGACGTGTACCTCGACAAATACGCTTTTGTAATTGGCGAAACAATAAACGTAAACATTAAAATTTTAAACATGTCGAATGTTAGTGTGAATGTAGTCAGGGTTAAATTGACGCAGAGGGTTACATCGAGGGCAACTCATCCGAATTCGGATTCAAGGTACGATACGGATACCGTTGCAAAAAACGAGCACAGCGGTGTAGGAGCACATGGAGAGCACGAATTCCTCGTCCCTTTGGAGATACCTCGGCACGCACAGGCCTACAATTTCTCATCTTCCACTCTATTCGATGTTTCGTATAAACTTACGGTAACATTATTTATAAGAATGTCAATTGGCACTAATAAGTGGTTTATAGGTTTCCTGTGAGCTAGATGGTTGCCACTCAGATTTAGATGTGGGACATTTTCCGAAAATAGGACACATTCCGCATGTAAATCAACCAATAACTCAACAACCCTACAATGAAGCACAACAAGGACAAGAAGAATGGGAGGATGTAGATGTAACCGTTAATATTGGAGAGGATGTTAACGAACCGCCTCCATATGTACCACCAGCTGGTACTATTGGTTTTGTGGTTCCTCCAGGTGCAAGCGGAGCACCTCCATACCCTCCAGAAAAAATGCCTTATCCTTATGCGGTACCCCCTGTGCCATCGGCGCCTTTTGCTGATCCTAACGCAGCCTCAGCACCGGAAATGCCACCACCATCGTATGGAGATGCGACCGTGGAGAAACCCCCCAAATAAATTGACTTAATATTAAACGTGTTCAAATGTTTTACTCAGGTGCTTTCTACTTATATTATTCATATACATTGTTTTGTAAAATAAACGTCGTGACTTGCATATGTTGTTTGATTATGAAAGAAAGGAGCACTCGTGTCCATATGGTCCTTAATTATCCTGGTCAATGCTTGAAATCCTTGATTAAAGGAATCTGGCGACACACGCATTCTCGCAGTTTCGTTTTGTGTGTAAAAAGATGCCGCTCATAAATAGAACTACAGAGGCATAAATAAAAGTGATGCGATGCGAAGAATATAGCATCCAATTAAAATCCTCAAATTGTCGGCAATGTACGTAGGCAAAGGCAAAGCGTTCTGAAGTGGGCTCTCGAGCTGTCTTGCTGTATCTTTGACTTTGGGGGTATATAAAAACATCAATGCCCATCACCATGCTCATTTTTATTTTATTGTTATTCTCTATTCAGAATCACGTTATTATTTTTCGATTGATAACAATGTTTCGCGTAATATGTAGCTTGAATATCAGTCTCAAAACATTATTAAAAATGACAAAAACACCTTTTTAAATGTAATAAATGTTTTGTTCATTTTTAATGCTTCTTTTAAGCCTTGTTGTGTAAGCAGAGAAATTTTGATTTACTTTTTGGATTAACTAAGGGCGTCGTTCGTTCGAAGATGACAGTGACAAGCGAAGGCGTCGCGACGCGTCGGCATCAAAGTTCCGACTTTCTAAAGTGCTTTCCACTTCATACGCTTACAAAGAACATGCACTCTCACAAAGCCAGATATTTAAAACTGACGAACAAAATTTTCATGTGATTACAACATTTGTTTTTAGTATTTTTAGGAGAACCTTGTACAATATCTTAAGAGTGAGGTGGGAAATTAATTTATTGGTGACATTTTTATTCGTTAATTAAAGCTTGGATGATAAAGGAATATTTATCCATGTAAAAAGGCGATAACAAGGACTAAGCTCCTCAACGTCTCCATTTATATGCACTGCCATATTGTTTACGGAAGAATATTAAGGCCTAAATTATCTTCAAAGACAAGATTTACAAAGGGCTCATCTAAATAAATATTACTTTCAAATGATTTACGAAACTTGTTAATTGAATTTCCAACAGTTCAGATATTAACCCCAAGCCTTTGATAATGTGTGTGGAACTTATTTATTTAATAAATCCAAACCATAAAACAATTACAAAAATATATTTTTACTAACGAAAGAAAATATTCATAACTCGATAATTAATGGACATGCAACAATATAGAAGACATGTTTGTCTTTACTGCCGATTTAATACGAGTATTGTATGCAACCCATTATACATTAAGATGTGTCTACTGCTCCTCAGCAGCAACTAAATATTATTTAAAAAAAGCACCGTCACGAAGGTCGATTGGACCCTTTCATAAAATGTTGTTTAATAAAAATAATAACTACTACTACTATTATCCATTTAAATGATATCGGGGGTCAAAGTTTAAAATAATTAAAAATATCATATTTTTGTTTATACTTGTTTTTAGACTGTAAACAAATAATTTAAATGATACCTCCTACATTGATGTGACCTTATGGCGTTTTAGTCACGGGCTGAAGTTGGCAATAGTAGCTTTTGGGCATTTTAGTCACGGGCTTAAGTTGGCTTTATTATAAATTAGGGAAAAGTGAGGTTAAATTCGTTTAAAGTTGACAGATGTCAAATGTTTAAGAAATAAAATTTGGCTTTAAATTCTTCTTTGTGTTTGTCGCCGTCCTTAATTTACTTATTTACAATAAGCGGCTGTTAATGTTAAAGAAGGAAAAAAGCATTTTCTTTGGTGTTAAACAAAATTTATTACCAGAAAGGTCTCGTAAGTACTAGAAAAATCATAAAAATATTATAACCAATATGCAAAATATTATGATGTGTAAAGTATAGCCAACCTATAAAATAAAAATATTGGGTGGGATAAAGTATCTCACCGAAGCGGTGTTATAATGAAGTCATTATGAACGCAAAATTGATAAAATTATTTTTTCTACTCCCACCTTTAAAACGCCATTTATCGTACATGTTTCCATGACACTAAGTGACCTTTTAAATACGCATTGACAAGTTGTGGCTTTATGGCGCTTTAGTCACGGGCTGAAGTTAGTTTTAAGTTAGTTAACAGTTGTCAAATGTCATAAAATCGTTAAAATAAAGTGCCCTCCTTGTAAAATAATACTAAATGTGAAAATTATTTTATTATCTCAGTACAATATTTAAAAAGTTTATATGAACATTGTACTGACCTTTGAATTTCGCCGGGATTAAACTATAACTTAAATTCGGGCACGGACTCCACTGTAAAGTGCTCATAAAAAATTTTCTTTACTTTCTCTGTGAAAAACTGTCAATTTTCAAGAAATACAATTCGATTTATAACCTTTATAATCTGTTTATAAAAATTTGACATTTGACGGTGACACACAGATTCCCCTATTGTTTCAGGATGGCGCTCTATACAAATTTTTGATTTAAATCATTTTAAGATAATAATAAGTATTTGTCGTAGAAAAAGTATAGTATGCACCTCATTATAAACTTTTCTATACACTCATTAATTTAAGCACTCGCTTGCAAGCTCGCTCGTGCCTAAATTAAATTCGTGTATAATATGGCGTTTATCAAACTTGATACATAATATACTATTATTATCTCAATACAAAAAGTATTAAATAGTTTCTTGTCGCCAATATTTAAAATGAATGTTTTTGTACCTTTTCCTGTGTAAGATTTTTTAATACTTTGTGATAATATTTTGAAATTATAGTAATAAAAAAATCAAATGATAACATATTTTCTTGACAAAATCATATTTTAAAGTTATTTTAATATTTTAAAGTATTTAATGGTAAAAATTACGTAAAAATGTTTACTGGGATGGTTACTTTTTTTTCGTATAGATGTCGCTTTATACAAATATTTAATTTAAATCATTTTTTAACTATTATTAAGTATTTGTCGTAGAAAAAGTTTATAAACTTTTCTAGACACTTATTTAATTAAACACTCGCTCGCAAGCTTGCTCGTGCCTAATTAAAATTCGTGACTAAAATGTCGTTTATTTTGAAAGTTTTTCGTCAAGCTGTATGTATTAATTAAATGTTTTAACATTGCAGTTTTATGAATTAAATTTGCCGTCTAAAATGCATTACCTAAAGACGAAATTGTTTTAGATGCAATAGACTGTTTTAATCCAAGTTAATTTAAGAATGAAACGTAAACATGGGGTTTTTATTTAATAATATCCCCTTAAAACACAAGCACCTCGGCTAATAAATTGAATTTGCCGACTCGTTGTATCCAAACTGAATGTTTGCAGTTTATTGCTCTTAAGCTAAAACTGATTTGAAATATTTCAATGAGAATTGGGGATGAAATATTGCAGGATTACTACCTGGATAATGCGACTAAAAATTTCTCAATTAAATTTCGCAATGGAAAATTAATAACCAATGGGGTGATTACAATCATTTTGATCATTATTAACTCTGCCCATCCATTTTTATATTAGGTTATAATAATTTTTCAATCAGTAAAAAATACACACTTGGCAAATCTTCAATACAACACCCTGTGTATTAAAACCAAAATTAATGGCTCTTTTTTCTCTGAATTTAAACATTTCTATATAAAACGGCTAAACCAAATGTCAACATATTATATATTTTTGAATCTATTAATTTTTGTTATAATATACAGGGTGTTCCATTGAAGATTTGCCAAGTTTGTGTTTTTTACTAACTTAGCGATATTCATTTGTTAATTTTGTATACACAAAAAAACTATTTTGCAAAACCACTGCACTTTGGTGTAATTAAATAAATTGCGGGAGAGAAAAGTGCTTTTCCCCATATGTTAATGCGTATCGTGCATACATACAATTAGTCCCTTTTCGATGGTTCGTCGCCCCTGAATTAAAGCAAGCGCAAAATGTGTTTGTATGAGTGCGTGATAGAGCCAACTCGAACTTTGATTAAACCTCGGCTAAAAGGACTAAAGTATCCTGTCCTGAAAGGAATTGGCCAAGGGAATTTGTTTAAAGGATAAAATGGACACTTTTCAGATCTTTAAATTTGATAGCGATTCAATTTTAATAATTAACCCTCTTAACATAATTACTTTTCTCACTTTTCAGAGTGTAGTTTTATCTCCATCTCCATCTTCCTATTAATCCTTTTGCTGAAATAAAAATATTACTTAAGCCCGAAATTATTTTAATTTTTCCAAAAATATATCCTATAGGATACATAATTTTATGGATTTTATGGATTCTATACATCTATCTATGGCAAAATTAATTTTTATACTTGGTATATATTTGTATATACTATAATATTGCTACAATGTATATTTTAAGAATTTTTAATAAATTAAAATTCGTCAAGCTTAAATATTGACAAGCTTAAATTATAACAAGATAAACCATTGAATTAACCTCAAATGACAAGAGTTTTAAATAATGACAAGCTAAAATTTTAAAAAAGGTTTTTTAAAGATATCCTTAAATGACGACAAGATTAAACAACATTAAAAAGCTTAATTAAGATAAAATAATGAAAAGTTAGAATATTGACAAGCTTAAATAATGACAAGATAAAATTAGTTAGTTTAAAAGATATCACTATAGCTTAAATGAAGACAAGCTTAATGACAACAAGCTAGTCAAGCTAAGTCGCAAGATAAGCTAAAATGACTATGAACAAAAATGACGACATGCCTAAATAACAACAAACAAGCTTATACAGTGACAACAATCTAAAACAACAATATACTTAAATGACTAATAAAACGACTAGTTAAAAAAATACAAGATGACGAAATGCTTAATCGACAACAAGCTTAAATGACAAGCTTACACAATGACAACAATATAAAACAATAATAAAATCAAATGAAAAGCTAATTTAACGACAGGCTAACATGACAAGTTTAAATGGCAACAAGCTCAAATAATGACAAG